CAATTCCGCAATTTCGTAAAAATCAAACTATTGGTGACGGTGTGTGTTTCTTAGAATTCAATTCTGGAAAAATCTTGTTTTGGAATGTCTTCCTATTGGTCACTTTTACATAATTGACCAATGACAATTAAGAAGAGTTCAAATCTCACAATTTTCTCGACAATTTTAGTTTTGGACATGCATATTTCCTAAAAGTGGATTCTTCAGGCATTGGTTGCTTGCATTATTTTATATGAGATTAAAAAGATTTCAGAAATTTGATTAAAAAAATTTAAGAATACAATTCATACTCATGATTAAGCAAAGCTTTTAAGGCCGGGTCACTTGAAATTATTTAATAGGATTAAAATATTGCCAAGTTTCACACTCTCTAATTTCTATTTTATTAATTTTGGTCCCTTAATTTAAACTTTTTGTAACTGGAAGTAACCAATTGAGTGTAGTATAATCGTTATCATACTCGTATGTTAATATTTTTTTTGTATATGGAATAAATCTTCAGTTGTTCAATTCTAAGCTTAGAATATCAATTTTTGACAATGTGCCTAAAAAGTTACATTTTGCGTAAAACTTGCGGTTTTGCGCAAAAACTTGCGAAAAAATTGCGCAAAACTAAAATTTCGTTTCATGCGCAACTTTCGCAAAAAATATTTCCGGTTTTGCGCAAAATAAATAGCGCAAAACCGCGCAAAACTCATTGCGTTTCATGCGCAAAAATAGCGCAAAAGTTCGCAAAAATAAAATTTGCGCGAAAATAGCGCAAATTTTGCGCAAAAGATTTAGCCATTTCGTGGAAACCCTAGTTACCCTCCATGCAATAATGACAAAGAACAATTCACAACGGTACCCTTATAAACTTTGTCTGATCAAGTGTAATTATAGTGTAAATTTTAAAAACTGATTATTTTTAGTTTAATCTCTACAAAAGAGATTTGCGAATTCTACTGTAGAAAAACATAAAGAAATCTTCAGAATTAAGCACTTTTAAACTTAAAAATAGGCAATATCTTCTATAATTTGGATCAGATAAACAATTTAATTATACAAAATATTTTATCCAGAACCTTCTGCTCCTCCAAATAAATCAAAGGGATTGTTTCCAAACTTTCTCTTGTTAAAGGAATTATTTAGTTACGTATCCTTAGAAAAAAGAAAGCTCTCCAAGTTTAGAAATTGTTGAAATTTAGACCAAAAGGCAATTAAATTCAAGTCCAAATGGGCTGATGGTGGTATATTGAAAAAGCTTTTTCTATAAACATTTACTATTAGTTAAAAGTTCCCGGTCCCCCCCCCCCCTTCGAATGTTTAAAACAATGACAGTATACATTTTCAAATAGATGAATTATTGACAATTTGAGACTTAAAATAGGTACTCAGGCAATATTTAATAGAAATACTTATTAGAAAGTTAAAGTATGAACATAAACAATATAGTAACTAAATATGTTGAAAAGTAATATATAATTTTTCGACCTTTAGTAATGATAATATAAAGATCTTTAATTTAAAACAAAAGTCGGTTTCTTTTAACACTAACTTTTTCAAATTGCAACTTTTTCATCGATTTCCAATTAAAACTAATTTTCACGGATTTTTAGGATTAAATTGGTGGATTTACAAAATTCGTAAATTTCTAAATTATTTTGAGGCTATAAATTTCGACCAGCTATAAACCTTCTATTGGGGTTATGTGAGTGGCCACAAAAAAATGGGCATGATCAAAATCCACCTTATTGGGACACAGCTTGAAGTCAAAAATTTTGTGTTTGGATCGATCAGCGTTGATCTTAATCTTTTATATATCGGATTAACTTAATTCCACTCTGCAGTGATAACTTTTGTTAAGATATCAAGCATTTTTCTTAATATTAAAATCGGATATCGAGATCAAGCATTCAAGAATAACAATATCCGGCCACACACAAGTTTAAAACTTCCAATCCCTGTACAGTGTACAGTGTACAGTGTTCAGTGTACAGTGTACATATGCAGGTTAACCCTCAATTGGAGATACTTTAGATACTGATTATCGAATTCTATACCTTCATTTTTATTCTACAATCGTCGTACTTGTAACTTTATACTTTTACATGCTTTGCCAAATCTTTTTGTACACCTAGGTATAAAAGTCTAAATCAGAGTCCAAGAGACAAATTAATAAGATCTTCAGTTCGACAGAATCAAGGATTATTAGGTCGTCATTATAGTTTTATCTTTTGTGGGTAACCCTGTATATACTATATATATACAATACTGAATTATATACTACATATCAATATTTATCTCTGTTTGTCTGTTTCTTTGTTATTATGTCCGATCATAACTAAATTCAGTGGATCTTTAAAAAAAAAATTTAGTTTCCCGGTAGAGTCGACCAATTGTGGGTGAACAGCGGGAGTAACTATGAGTAACCTGGGCAACGCTGGGTTCCCAAGCTAGTATTTTATATTACTTATATGTTAACCGAACAAGGAAGAAGATAAGACTGGAAGAAAAGAAGAAAATACAAATTTTCGGGTTAGGTTGGATGAGAACAGATAAACATATTGGGCCGGTAATACAGTGTGTTCAATGTTTAATGTTTACAGGGTGTCCAGTGTTTAGTGCATACAGACACAGTATTAAGTTTGTATACTAAAACGTAAGTGTATGTATACACATTACACTGTACTTTATTTACTCCATCTACATCTCACCCGCAATATGGCAAAAATAACTGTTTGCATTTTCAATAGATTTTCCCAGGGATTTAACATTTTCCTCTACAGGGTGTCCTAACTCACAATGAGCAAAAGAAATCATCAATTGATTCCAACAGTCGCCTTCCTTTTCTACAGTTTTATACGCTTTTCTGTACAGGGTGACCCAAAAAACATGGGAATTAAGAGACGAATTCTCTTCGTTTAGATTTAGCGTTGAATTACCTAATTACAGTGATCAAAGTTACTTCTGCTGGAAAGGTAACGATTCTGCAAAACGTTTCTACGAGATAAACAGTAAAGATGGAACAACTATAATGTGTTTTAAAAAGAAATTTTTACTAATAAATAAAAACATCAAAGTATTCATTTACAAAGCCGATATCATGTTTATTGGGATTGTTTGTAGAAGATAAAATAATAAAACTTTGTGTTACGCATTTCCTTAAATTGTTCAAAAACTCGAAAGTTAAAGGATAAAAAGTTCAACCCCTGTATCCACATCTTAGAAGAGGCACACGTGTCAGTGTGTCAAAAGGGTTATTTTTATTGATACCCCCCCCCCCCTGTCTCAAATCCTGAATAAGCGCCTGGTTTGAAAATATTCCTAGCATTAATGAGATTTAATATTTTATAATGACGTTTGTTCCAGGGATTGGCAATGTATCTTGTTTAATGATTTATTAAATGTTTTTTTTTTGCTGGAACAATTTAGTTATATGCCGAAAGCTCTTCCAAATTAGGTATATTTCGGTAGAATTTCACATTTTCTATCAGAAGTTGTTCTTTTCTTCCATCGATAAATGTTAAGACTATGAAGACGACTTTCGATTTCAATTTTGAGTTCTACTAAGCTCTCAAACAACATGGATACACATTAACGTTGAAACAATTCTCTTTGCTTACTTGTAAACTTTTAATTTGAAAAAAGGCTTAACAGAAATCAAAACTTAAATAGAAAATTTGTCTTCATTGTATTGATAGATATGCCAATCAAAAAATAATTTCGCGGATTTATTTATTTTTTTCGTCGATTTTTTTGTGTTAAAAGACCTGAATGACAGGATTTCATGACAAGCCTGTATTCTGTCCAGATTGTAAAGATGGTTTGCTCAGAACTTGATGGGTTTTCAGATAATCCCCCCCCCCTCCCCCCGTCTGTGTACTACATATCGTAGTTTTACATATAGCTAATAACAATGTGTTAAAGAAAAAAAGTTTCCTTTACAAAATGACTTGCAAAAAAGACCTGTATTCATGCGAATATCATGAACAAATTCTGACTTAAATTTTGTATTCATGCGAAATTTTGTGCAAAAAATATTTATTTATTTTGAATGAATGCACAATTTTGTGCAAAATTGGTTTCGTCTTCATACGAAAATGATGCGTAATTTCGTGCAAAAACAATTATTTCGTGCAAAACCACGCAACTGTTGCGCAATAGAATTGACTGTTTCGTGGAAACCCTAGTTCGGCATTGATAGTTCGCGTGCTTATGTCCGGTTGACATTGAAGCCTATGAGATTGTGCCCATTGGTTTGACATTGATGTTTTGCAAGTTATACCTGGACGGAAACGAATCTCTTTATGGAGTAGAGCTTTCACTACATGCATATTGTTTATGCTCTGACCAGTTGTTAACAACTTTGAAACAGAGATGAAAATATAAATACATATCAAATTTTTTTTTAAATTGCATTAATTAAAACTTAAGTACAACTTTTACATTTTAACTTTGTCTTGTCAACTTCCTGCAATCTCTGTTTTATTTATATTGATTAACTTGTTTTATTAAGTACACTTTGATGTATACATTGTTGATACTATAGTACACATTTAATATTATCATGCAAAAAAATGATAAATTAGCAACAATCCAGAAGATAAAGTGCTATGCGTAAAGAAATGCTGCTTTCAATTTTTCTCAAGACCTCAAAATTATACTACTTTCTCGTATACATATATATATATATACATATATATATATATATATATATATATATAAATATATATATTATCTTTGCTGTCAAACCATAACATATGATAGTACATGCTTTGCAGACGGGTACTCCATTTGAATTAGAAATATTTGTCTGATGTACAACTACCGCCTATACATTAATTTCTTATTCAAATGGAGTACCCGTCTGCGACGTCTGCAAAGCATGTATAATCATATGGTAGGGCGAACCACGTCAGTAATATCTCCCTTCTATTCCTTACTCCCAGTGTCAAACTGTAAAAATCTTCCTAGCGCATCTATGATTACTATGCAGTCAGCAGTACAGGTAAAAACCATCTGATCGGACAATGACAAGACACTTTTTCTCAGAAATTTGTAGTTTCTCTGTTTTTAAAGGAGATTTAATATTTTTCTTCTATACGATGGCCGCCACAGATTGAACTAGACGAATTGAGCTGTTTTGACTTTAATATCATCTCTAAAACTTTATAAATTACTTTTCAAAATGGCCAAGAAGCTGCATTTTAATTTTCTTAACTTAAAACAGCTTAAGAATCAATTTCTATTGACTACTGCACTTCTTATTCTAATATTGGTTTTCAGTCATCATCAGTTAGGTAAGCTCAAAAAAAAATTATAAAGTTATGAATTAATTTATATTTTTTCACTGTACATCTCAAATATAAGTAGTAAACACCTTCTCCATAACAAATTTTCGAAACGTATCTATCCAAGTCGAATCCGTCAGCTATTAGTAAATACTAATGTACTTTTTCATTCTAAAAAAACATTTACAATTAAGGCATTTTTAGCTGTAATCAAAATTGACAATCGCAAATGGCATTTTGTGATAAAAACCGCTACTAAGTGTTTTTTTCTTAAAATATGTCGATATGGGCATAAAGAGATCCGACTTGCCAAGTCATATTTAATGGAACAAAATTTTTTAACCCTATCCCCGCTGGGGTACTTGAAAACCAGGATACGCTGGGGGGGGGGTCAATTTGACCCCCCCCTCTAAATCCCATGTTTTATGTCCAAATATGACAAATGATACATCATTAGAAAGCTCTACTTTTAGAATCTGCAAAAAAATTTGCAAATTTGCGAAAATTGAATTTTTTATCGCAAAATCCAGTTTTATAGTAAAAATGTTTGCAAAAAAAAATTTGTCCAAAAAATGACAAATTATACATTTTTGAAAAGCCCTTGACCATGCCATTTCAAATATGCAAAAATTTTTGCAAAATTTTAAATAACCTGATTTTTAATCAAGAAAAACTAAAAATGTGCAAATTTCCTTTGACAGGTTGTTTGCAAAAAATTTGCAATTTTTTTTTCGCAAAACTTATGCAATCCGTTTTCTTATGTCATAGGCTTTCCAAAAAGCTAAATTTTATCAAAATCTGACAAGTGAAAGTGGGTTAAAACAAAGATTTAGTTTGCTACAGGCAAAAGCAGTCATTCAGGCAGTGTGCCTGAGGACTCAGGCAGTTAGTATTAAAGCCCGGTTTTAGACCTAAAGGGAGGGCTTTGGGTATGTAAGAAAAGTCAGAAAATTTCAACAGCCTCAGACCAATACTTTTTGAGTTATGTAAAAAAAACTACAGGGGGGGGGTCAAATTGACCCCCCCCCAGCGGGAATAGGGTTAAATTGAAATATGGCCAAGTTGAATGTGTTGAGTGTTTTTATTGCCTTTAATTCAAGCGGCCCAAGAAAAGTAAATTATTATAGATTGGAATAAAGAAGAATATTTTGAAATTCCTTTATTTACTTTCAACCGTCTTTTGGCTATATTTAACTCTAAAAATTCATAAAAACTACTTACAATCTCCTGCTAGAAAAATTGGCATGATTAATATTATTTTTATTATTATTATTATTATTATTATTATTATTATTATTATTATTATTATTATTATTATTATTATTATTATTATTATTATTATTATTATTAACACTATTATTATTATTATTTTTATCATTATTATTATTAACATAATCATAAGTATATCTATGTATAGTTCTTGTCCCTCTCCCTACTGGATTCGTTATGGTGAATAACCCAACAAACTGTTCTTTAATAAATAAGGTAAAATTACCAATTTTAAAAACATAAAACAAAGTTATGATATCATATTTCCTTTAAAAAATGCTTTATACCCGTCTTTATTGACGTTAAATACTTCAAATTTGTTTTAATAGTTTCATAACATTTTTTTTAAAATTTGTATTATAGTGCTTAACCTGGATAAAGATATGAAGACAGTAATGCTCATATCAAATCCTAAAATTTGTTTAGTTTAACCTGGATAAAGATATGAAGACAGTAATGCTCTTGTCAAATCCTAAAAGTGAATCTGCATCTAAAGGAAAACTTGTTTACAGGTGAGGATGATGTTAATTGTTGATATTTTAAAAAAAAAATTGGCTTCCACAGACAAAATTGTACTGAAGAATTTTATGAAACTATTGTGTACTTTATCAGTCATACTCACTTTAAGGTGAATTTCATTATTGACGTGCTATAAAGTAATTATCGTTCTATAATGTAAAATTAGTTGTATATTATTTAGGATATTTCTAGAATATTTGTTGTTTTAATTTACATAAAAATAAAAATGAAATAAACTTTAGATTTTTACTTCTGCTTTGTTAAAAACTTTTTTAACCATTGCATGAAGACAAGTACACAAACATTTCATAAAATTACCTTTTTAACACTATTTTTTTTTGGCACGACGCGACAAGTTTGCTCTGATTATTGCTTTATAGTATACTAGCTGAAGGGTCCGGCGTTGCCCGTGGAAAAAAAATATTGAAAAATATGTTGAAAACAAATATTTTTAAAAAAATTTCGATTTTTTTTTGCCTATAACACCCCCTGCCACCCATGAGCATAATTTTTTTCTTTTCTTATTAGACCCTACCTGAACTGCTTAGGCCAGGAGGATGACCATCTAGCGAAGAAAATCAGGAAGAATATATCTGGCAAAGATTATATAGATGCTGCAAGCTCATTAATTTTTGTGAATTATCTTAAATGAGACAATTACACAAAAAATACTCCAATCTAAAAGGCCAAATTTTTGCTGAATTACGGTACGACTTTATTACTTTGTTGCTCATCTAGTTTTTATATTACTTATTTATGATCTGAAACAATGCTATTTTGACCTATCATAATAATCTGTAAAATGAGGTCTCCGAACACCAAGCCTAGGGTTTATCTTGGGCTGAAGGTAAATGAACATGATAATGTGGAGATGCAGCAGATGGAACAAGTTAGGGATATAGTCGAGCTAGGTATACTGTACCAGTGTACACCCACTGTTCACTAATAGATCCACTTGCTTTTAGGGCGCTTCGCGCCCATCTTCTTTTTTCAATTGTAAACATTTTCTCTTTGTATACATTGTAAAATAATAACGAAAAAAGTTCGCGGATTTTGAAAAAAAAAATTGGATTTTCAAAATTTAATGACAATTAAATTTTGTTGGAGGCAAAATTTAAATGTTGATCATCTATAAATCTTTCCTGGGGACATGCAAAGTCCCACAATAAACGTGTGCCCGATCAATTCAGCCGTTTTGACGTTTATTGGACACAAACAAACCAGACAAACACCCAGACAAGTAGAGTAAATATATAAATAATGCTTGCAATGAAAAGCTCCACCAATTTTCAAGTGTTGCAAAGCGTTGTGTTTGATTATAATTATTTTTAAATAAAATTTTAGATTTTTTATTTTATCAAACATTATTGCAATATTTAACTAAAATTTCGCGAAAATGCTAAAATTTTCGGGTTTGAATCCCGTTTTTGAATGACTTTTTAAAACTGTGTGTTGGAGAATTATCGAAAATAAGGAAACCCTACTTCTAATAATAAAACCCTGCAGGCCGCAGGGACCAAATTTAATTAATTTAAACTGCCTATCTCCGCGCCACGCCGATTCAAATTTGAATCAACGATTCAAATATTTCCTGAAACTTTAACTTTTAATCGGTGGTTTTAATTCGAATTTGCCAGTATGTAGTTTAGCAAAGTTTGCCAGTATATAGTTCAGCAAAGTTTTCCAGTATGTAGTTCAGCAAAGTTTGCCAGTATGTAGTTCAGCAAAGTAGCTCAAATTAATTTAATTCGGTCCCAGGCGTACAAAATACTTCAAAATTAGACTTTTTAGTTTACAAGAACAATGTTCCAAGAAATGGATTTTTTGTTGAGTCGGGTTCAAACAACGCAATCGATTCTGTTTCTTTAGGTAATTCAAATATTTTATGAAAAAACAATTTCTAACATTCTTATTTTATTTTTTGTTTTAAACATATTTTTTTAAATTTTAATTTTAACACAATTCTTATAGATTTAATAATATCAGCTGCAAGAATTTTGACATTTCTGTTTTTCTAAATCTCCATTTTCTTCTTGTTGTTGTTAGGACTGGGCATAGTTCCGTTAATGGAATGGAGGTTTTCGAAAATTAACCAACCGCAAAAACCGTTATTTTTAAACCAGTAACGAAACGGATTTGCAGTTTTTGAAAAAAAATAATGGTTGAAAACGGAAACGGAACGTTTTTTAAACTGTCAATTACGTTATTTTCTGCTCTAAATTTCATTAAAATTATGTGTTTTGATGTTTTTAAATATCGTCTGCTGTGTCACAATTTTGAATGCTGAGAATAAATCGCTGTACCTTTAAATTTTGATTTAGACATTTTGGAGTTTGTCCAGCCGTGAAAGGATCTCAGAATAGGATAAATATAGTTGATTTGGGTATCTAGATATTACTCAGTCCGTGCAGAAAAGGACACATACATATTTAAATTGCTAGTGCCGCGTTAACAATTTGACAAACCCTTAACGCCGTTAATAATAAAAAAGACAATGTACTGCAGCACCGTTATTGGTTTCATAACCTTTAACGAAACGAACATTCCGTTCTTACCTTTAAAATTACCTGAAGTTTTTCTTTTTTAACAGTTGGAACTAACTGTTAACAAAACGGTTAGAAAGTGTTGGAACGTGCCCAGCCCTAGTAGTTCTTGTGCGTCATCAATCGTGTGAAAACATCCTAAAGTTGTCAGATTTCACTTTTAAAACACGAATAAAACGTGTGTCCAATTTGGAACCTAAGGCACCATTTTGGATTTGAAATTTGAAACAAAGTACGCAAATGGCCGTGGACATTGGGACCGTCTCGGTTAGACCTGATTTGGTCACACTTTGAACATGTAAGTAAACATTTATTTATTTTATTTTGTTGTCAGAATTTGAAGTACGTTACAACTGGACTGGTGTCCTCATAGAAGCAGACATTTGGCTCTTTCAGAAAGGCCTCACAGTCAACAGAAAGGCATTCCAGGTAGGGTTGTTAATCGTTTTTTTAACTATCACAACGAACGAACTACTCGCTTTAAACTTCTAAAAAACTAAAAACTATTGTTTTTCTTAAAAACGAGTTCAATGACAATTAATTTAGGATTTTTCGGGAAGACAAGTTTATGAATGTTGTCTAAAATGTTTTTTTTTTATCGAGAGAAATAACCTTAAATGTTTTCTGATCTAAAGGTTTTCCGACCAAAAAATGTAAAAATGTAACGATCCTTAATGAGGGTTATTGTTGAAAGCCGTTAAGAATTAAAAACTACCTATCTTCGTTAAAAAAACGACAAACTAAAACTAAATTACGCATTTTTTAATTAAAAAAATCTTTTTCAAATATGATCGTTTCTAAAAATTACCCTTGGTATTTCATTTTTTCTTCATCGTTTTAAACAAATCTTTTTTCCAAAAATTAAAACGATCCATCCCTAATTCTGAACCCCTATACGAAATGTTAACCCTGTGATGCTGTGAGAAGACATTTGCCTGAACGAAGTAAAACAACCCAGAAGAACGGTCGTTCATTTGGTTCATATATTTGGTAAGTTCAGGCAAAAATGTCTTCTCTCAAGGTTCAAATTTTACATAGTGTAAGAAAAGCAAATGCTTAGAGTAAACTGTTATGAAATTTGTAAAACTTCAAAAATTTTACTAAGCCTTTTAAAAGTTTAAAAACCCTAGAAGTTTTTAAAAAAGAACGAATTAAATGCCCAACATGTGGGTTGAGGAACTTTAAAATAAAAAAAAAACTATTGGGTGTCGCAGTTGCTCCACGTTCCTTTATGAGATAATTTAGGGCTTTTCACAAAAGATGACACCTTGTTTTATAGGTTCTTTTGACTTTTCTATCCAGCTGCAGTAAATTTTTCAATTTAATAAGTTAATACTTTGAACTCTTTTTTTTCAAGGCAGAAAACCAAATTCAACCCTGGATCATTATTCTTTTGAATGCCCTGTCTGTGTAAAGAACAAGTAAAATAATTTTTCAAAAACATTTTATGATGATATTTAATATGTTTCTGATGTCTACTATATTAACCCAAAATATTTAAAATTGTTTAGCTTGATAATAAAAAATACACCGCAAACCAAAGTAACAAAAAATAAAAATACTTCAGATTCACACATGCTTAGCAGTTGAGAAAAATCCACATTTTGCTATGTTCGATATGCTCTCAGCAGTCAGGTATGTAAATAATTCAATACTCCAGTAGTTCTTTAAGTGAGTATCGATCCAGAATCCAGATATATTGTTAAGTAGGTAACAATCCAGATACAACTCTCTCTCTGTATTCTTTAGCATGCATCCATAGAGTAATAAAACGAAGAGATGAAGCTTATCTCAGATGTTCACAACAGACCTCCCTATTAATTAATTAATAGAGTGGCCGGTTGTGTACATCATGGATATGTTTATGTATCTAACAGTGTATAAAATTCTAGAGTTCTATAGAATTTAATCGAATTTAAATATTTTTTTTATTTTTAATGAAAAAAAATTGCATCGTTGTTGTTAGTTAGAATCAAACAATTTCTTGACCCCATACTGGGTTGTTTTGTTCTAATATATATATATATCTTTGCCCATAGAGTGTTTATGTGAATTTGCAGATACATATTATTTGTCTAAATATTTAAGGTCTACTTATTTTTGAAATTTTTGACATCTATCTTTAATAGTTGAAGGCGTTGAGGTGTGAATATATTAAATAAAGGGTGAATATGTACGCCGAAAAACTATAAATTTCAGACAAATATCAACACGTGAAAAATCTTTTCAAATCAATTTTTCATGTGCTTTTCAATTATAAATTGTAACTCAAATAATGTTAAACCTTTTTGTGATGAACCTTTCTAATTTTTTTTGATAATTTATTCTAAATTATAAAGTCTAAAAAATCTAAAGAAGTTTTAGCGTGGAATGGTGAATACTTTTTTCATTTTCAATTTTTTAATCGGGAAGTCCGGCCTGTACTCTATGGGGGGCTTAATAAACGAGGCTCAAGATTCATCAATACAGCTCCAGTGTTTACCACTGTACAGTATTATTAAATCTTTAGGTAACCCATATCTCCTTGTTTACCATCTGTACACTATTATTAAATCTTTATGTAACCAATATCTCCTTGTTTACCACTGTACACTATTTTTAAATCTATATGTAACCCATATCTCTTTTTTTACCACTGTACAGTATTATTAAATCTTTAGGTAACCCATATCTCCTTGTTTACCACTGTACACTATTATTGAATCTTTAGGTAACCCATATCTCCTTGTTTTCCACCGTACTGTATCATTAAATCTTTAGGTACCCCATATCTCCTTGTTTACCACTGAACAGTATTATTAAATCTTTAGGTAACCCAAATCTCCTTGTTTACCACTGTACAGTATTATTAAACCTTTTTGTAACCTATATCTTTTTGTTTACCACTGTACAGCATTATTAAATCTTTAGGTAATCCATATATCCTTGTTTACCACAGTACAGTATTATTAAATCTGTTTAAACCTCGTATCTTTAAAAGGTTTAAGTATTTTATATAAATGCTTAAGATTCAATATTTTCTAATTATGTTAGGTAACCCCGTGATAAATCTTCTAATCCTGGATTTTGAAGGAGCGGAACAGTTGATTTTAGAAACACTGCCTTGGGAGAAGGTTGGAAATAAAACTAATTATCATGAAAAGTCGTCTTTTGTTTTCCACGTGGAATCCACACACCCACAAAGGCAGTAGACTTTAATGTAACCTTGAGTTCTTCATATTGAAAGAGCTTCAGGTCGTCTTTACAGTCTTTACGTGGAGAGCCCTGTACTTGTTCTTGTAATACAAGAAAGAAGTTAAATTTTGCTATCTTTTTACCAATTTACCAATTAATTACATACAGTGATAACCAGAAAATAGAATATGAAGACGACATTAAATTAATATAAGGTGCAATTGTTGTTACAAAGTAAATAGCTTTGTTTAAATTTATTAAATCACTTATTAAGTTAAATGGGTCTGTTAACACTGAACATTTACTGTCTCGGTTATGTCTATTGGACTATTTAAAGTCATAACTTTAGTCTAAAAGTAGACTTCTTATTCTGGATGTTTTCTGGTTATCACTGATGTAATTCATGCACCAATAGCGATCTTGCATTATTTTTTTAATCATCGCTCCATTCCAACTTTTCCGAAACTCATAACAAGAAATTGTTCAATTATTTGGCAATATAGTCAAATTACCGAGTTTTGTTCTTTTGTGGTAATATTGATTTCAAGAAAAGGGCAAAAATGTTATGATTTGAATAAATATTAAAAAAAGAATTCCCTTTTAGGAAGTTTCTATCGTTTTCAAATTGATTTTAAAATGCTGTCTGATATAAAAGTTTTCTTGTCCTGCCTATTTTTATATGAAGCATCATAGAAACTGCAGATAAACACAGAACTTATGAAATGTTGTTTTATATACCTACTCATAATGGCAAGCGGCAGATATCTAGTTTTCAATTGAATATTTCCGCATATTTCATGGTTTTTTGATTTATGTTTACAATTAGAATTACTAAGCATTAGGTATCATTGTATAAAACCCATTGAAAAACTGTCAAGACGACATTTTATAAATTATTTCGAAGCTCCGAAGTTCTGGATTAAACTGTAGATATTGGAAAAAGTATTACGATCAAATATTTGATCATTATCTAAAACATGAAAAATGTACCTTTTTACTAATTTTGTCAGGTCGACATAGAGATTTTAACGGTAGAGACAGATTTAGTTGGAGAAACCTTGCCTGGAGGTTCACAGGTTTATATCAAATGGGGGGGGGGGGGAATAATTTTGCTCCGAAACTTTTGCATAAAAAGCAATTCTTCAACACTTTTTTCCTTAAGAAATCTTACACAATTTACAGAGTTACTCACGAAGAATAAGATTTAAAAGACGACTTTTTTATCAGTTTATGTTGTTATATTCAAAGTTCCCTGCAGCTGTACAATTATATATTTCTTTTTAAATCATGAATAAATCATTTCAGACGCAATAATCGTAAATTCAACCTTCTTTAAAGAGTTTATGGTTGTCATTACAACCCAGGGGGGATGATAGTTATCTACCTTTGTGCTCAGTTAGCTGTACTGTACACTTTCAACTGTTTATAAATATTGATCACTATAGGTTAGGCTAGAATCAACTTATAATAAACAAATATGCAGTACGCTCTTGGTATAGTTTATGATCTATACAATTAGTAAAGGATTAGCGTACATCATCACTCTATACACTATAACCTCGTTGTTACCATTCATTGTGGGTAACCCTGTAAAATTTAACAAAAGAATAAAAAGATTCAATTATTTTCAAAGCCATTTTTTTCTTTGACAACAGACAATTGAAAGTGTTTTAAGAACAAATTTAAACGGGAAAAATATTATATATTTATGTGTGATACTATTAAATTTGTGATGTTTAACCCAGTACTTTGAAGACATTGAAAAATTTATTAATCGTCGTCTTGCCAATTTTCATTGGGTTATATATATTTATACCTAAATTTCAGTAATTGTAAAAATAAATATACAGCCATGAATATGAGGGAACAGGAAATTTTAAAAGCTTCACATAATTATTCAATTAAAATACTAAATAATTGCAGCATTCCATCGTTAGTAAGTCTAGAATACGACATTTTATAAATTCTTTGATAGCTCCGAAGTACTAGATTAAAATGAATTTTTATATGTTTAGGCTTCTATTCGTGTCCTTATAGAATCTAAAGGCTACAAAAGATTTCCACATCGAGGAGCAAGAAATCCTTTAACTGGACGCGAACAAAATGATTTGTTTATCAGAGAAGATATTGTTCAAAAATATAATGTAATTGGATATTCATCAAAACTATAATGTAATTGGATATTCAGCAAAACTATATAATGTAATTAGATATTCATCAAAACTATAATGTAATTGGATATTCAGCAAAACTATAGTGTAATTGGATATTCAGCAAAACTATAATGTAATTGGATATTCAGCAAAACTATAAGGTAATTGGATATTCATCAAAACTTTGATGTGATTGGATATTCATCAAAATTATAATGTGATTGGATATACATCAAAACTATAATGTGATTGGATATTTATCAAAATTATTATGTAATTGGATATTCATCAAAACTATAATGTGATTGGATATTCATCAAAATTATAATGAAATTGGATATTCATCAAAACTATAATGTGATTAGATATTCATCAAAATTATAAGATAATTGGATATTCATTAAAACTGTAATGTAATTGGATAATCTCAAAACTATAATGTAATTGGATATTCATCAAAAATGTAATATAATTGGATATTCATCAAAGATTAATGTGATTGAATATTCATCTAAAATAAATTTTAATTAGAAATTCATCAAAACTCTAGGTAATTGTATATTTATTAAAACTATAATGTAATCGGATATTCATCAAAAAATATAATATAGATGGATATTTTCAAAATATAATGTAATTGGATATCTATCAAAACTAAAATGTAAGTGGATATTCATCAAAACTATAATGTAATTGGATATTCGTCAAAACTATAATGTAATTGGATATTCATCAAAATTATAATGTGATTGGATATTCATCAGCACTATACTGTAATTGGATATTCATCAAAACTATAATGTAATTGGATATTCATCAAAACTATAATGTAATTGGATATTCATCTAAACTATAATATAATTAGATATTCATCTAAACTATAATGTAATTGGATATTCGTCAAAAATATAATATAATTATAATTATAACTATAATGTAATCGGATATTCATCAAAAAATATAATATAGATGGATATTTTCAAAATATAATGTAATTGGATATCTATCAAAACTAAAATGTAATTGGATATTCATCAACACTATATTGTAATTGGATATTCGTCAAAACACTATAATGTAATTGGATATTCATCAAAATTATAATGTGATTGGATATTCATCAACACTATACTGTAATTGGATATTCATCAAAACTATAATGTAATTGGATATTCATCAAAACTTTAATGTAATTGGATATTCATCTAAACTATAATGTAATCGGATATTCGTTAAAATTATAATATAATTAGGTATTCATCAAAATGTAATATAATTGAATATTCATCTAATATATAATATGATTGGATATTTATCTAAAATGAAATTTAATTAGAAATTCATCATACTCTAAGGTAATTGAATATTTATTAAAACTATAATGTAATTTGATATCCATCAAAAAATATAATGTAGATGGATATTCTAAAAATTATAATGTAACTGGATATTTATCAAAAAATATAATGTAGATGGATATTCTCAAAATTATAATGTAACTGGATATTTATCAAAACTATATAATGTAATTGGATATTCATCAAAACTATAATATAATTAGATATTCATTAAAACTATAATGTAATTGGATATACATCAAAACTATAATGTAATTGCATATTCGTCAAAACTATAATATAATTGGATATTCATCAAAATTATAATGTGATTGGATATTCATCAAAACTGTAATGTAATTGAATATTCATAAAACTATAATGTAATAGGATATTTATCAAAACTAAAATTTAATTGGATATTTATCAAAACTGTAAGGTATTTGGATATCCAGCAAAACTATAATATAATTAGATATTTATCAAAACTATAATGTAATTGAATATTCATCAAAACTATAATATAATTGGATATTTATCAAAACTATAATATAATTGGATATCCAGCAAAACTATAATATAATTAGATATTTATCAAAACTATAATATAATTGAATATTCATCAAAACTATAATATAATTGGATATACATCAAAACTATAATATAATTGAATATTCATCAAAACTATAATATAATTGGATATCCAGCAAAACTATAATATAATTAGATATTTATCAAAACTATAATATAATTGAATATTCATCAAAACTATAATATAATTGGATATACATCAAAACTATAATATAATTGAATATTCATCAAAACTATAATATAATTGGATATTCAGCAAAACTATAATTTATAATTCTTTACATTCTTCTCTGAAGTCTCATCCTTTGTATGTAATCCTGTCGTTGAGTTAAAAACGTCCTGAAAGCGGAAGACGACATTAAAACCTCGACCTAGTCCAGTCTGGAAATTGTGTAGCCATGTGTGTTAGGATAAGGTATTAAATTGTGTTTCGTTTCGTTTTTTGTTTTTTGTAAAAACGATCGTATTGAAATTCAATTAAAGGGTGTCTCACGAAACATGACAGTTAGTGAATAGTTTAAAATGTCTTCTTTCATAATTTGATAGGTTGTTTGATACTAAAGAGACTAATAACATTTTTTATATGACAGTTATACTATGGTAAAATTGATTTCACAGTAAAATATATATGAGTTAAACAATCTTTTAAAGAAATGAACTGCAAAAAGTCTTTAATATCCTATACAGACATTCAAAACTATTCACTAACTGTTATGTTTCGTGGGACACCCTGTACCAGATATATAGGGAGAAATGATGGCGTGAAAAAAAGATAAAAAGCAGGTATATACAGTGTAAAGGTAAGTAGGGTAGTATGACTTGACAATATTTACAATATACCGGTGGATAGGTGGGATTTCTCAGTATAATGATTCCCGCTACTCTACTTTTTAGTCTTAGAGTTAAGCGTACAAAAGAAACAATTGACATTAAAATTTAAAATTTCTGATATTTAATTTTAATGAAAATGGCAATCGTTATATATATCAGTATCACTAAACTTGCAATGTGTAACATAATATTGCTATTCACATTTGAAAGTTGATAACATTAAATATTGCATTTTCGCTCTACAGTGACTTTTTAAACAGTAATATTTAGCTAATGTTGTATATTTTTTTGAATTCTTAAACTCAAACTATCTCTGTTTTAGAAAAATGAGAAAACGGTTTTTTATTCAGAAAATTGTATCTGGAATTTCTGTGTTGTTTATAATTATAACGCTAAGAAACCAAATAAAAAAATGTTGACCAACATTACTGATCTATGATTCCCACAACAAAAGGACGTTAAGTTACCTAACGTCCCTTGGGACAATTAAGTAAAATAACGACCCGCTCTGTGAAATTTTCGTGAAAAATTCGCGCATTTGCATCTCAAAAGACGATAAAATAGTATACAACTACTTTTTCGAGAAATTAAAGATTATACTAACCACGGGTTCCCTCGATAAAATTGGTCTTGGGAACTCTGCTTATGTAAAATTCCCTTAACTTCCCTGTAAAGTAGTAGTAAATAATTATATATTTGTTATTCTTTTTAAAAGGGTCTGAAATATTTTTTTGTGAGTTATTTTTAAATCAAATTTAATGGCACCCTAAAATCAAATTTAAGGCTTCCAAAATCAAAGAGAGATTCGGGTTTTTGAATCCTTATAGAGAGGGTTTTCTCTTAAGCAATGTTTAACCCTAATCCTGTTTTTTTATCTATTGTCACATGGTAATATTTGTCAAACGTAAAAATAAATAGTGTTCACCATTTTTCCGACGTACTTTTTGATAGGACATATGTCACACTTCCCTCTAATGGCAAAATTATAAGGGGGGGGGGGACACTCCCCAATTTATATTGGACAAAAATAGCTCAATTGGGATAGGTTTGAATACTTTTTTGGTAAAAACGGGGAAAAATTAATTTTTCTAATGATAAAAATAGCCCAAAGGTCGTCTTATGTATCACTTTTTAATGTTCTAATTAAAGAAGTTTATTTAATTATTTGCTATCAGGCATACTGACGTCTAGTTCGGAAAATAGAATAAATATACTTAATGGTATGTACAGTGATAACCAGAAAACTGTGAAATAAGAAGACAACTTCACATAGATTCAGCCTGCTTAAAAAAAGTCTCTTCAATTTTTAATATAGGGTCGGCTGTGAACTGTTAAACGCCTTCGGCATTGATTTTTCCGATATAACTGGTAAAATTCTCATAGATTTTAGCTTGAGAGCGTGAGACCTTTAAATCCCAGTGACTTTGAGACCAACCATTGCACTTAATTAGTGATTTAATAAGTATCTAGAAAAACTATTTGCTTTGTAACACCGACAAATACACTTATAGTATTGCTATATGTCATCTTCCCATTTCAGAGTTTTCTGTATAAAATTTAGGAGGTACAAAATTAAAAATCATCAATATTATGCTTTAAAAAAACGCCATCAACCAAAGGAGCTCTTTTAAATCCAGCTGTTATTTTAAATAAAATTAAGACTAATTTTTCTCTTTCTCAAATACGGAATGACTTTATAATAACGAGGACTTTGCACTTCAGGAATTGATTTGCCTGAGCCTAAAGATGGAGTGTGTACTCCTCTCCCTGAATACTTAATTCAAAATAAAGTTCCTCTGACCCTTTGCTGTTATGGAACGGTAAGTATTAAATAAAGTATGCATTGGTCGACAACTTGATGTCTTCTATATTGGTCGTCAAATGTACTGAGAAATATCTATCTATCAAATAAGATTTGGCATGAGACATCTAGCGGCCAATATAACGTCCCCCAAAGTACGTGAACTTCACTTCCACTTTCCATGGAGAGAACGGGCTCTGACGGGAAAGTACATCTAAGCCAATGATCCCATATTTAAATGATAATTGTGTCCGGCACGACACCATGGACATTGGAAAATATCTTCCTCACATTATTAGATAAAAGTTTGAAGGGTACCATTGTGAATTAGACATGCCACTACATGTATGTATTCAATATGTGTTTAATTTGCAAGATGAATGTTATTGCATAATTCCATTATATTTCATTTGTTAGATTCCAAGTGAGGTTATTCAAGTAAAATTAGTTTTGAGTATTCTAGAAGTGTATCCTCAAGCTGTTTTTCTAGGTAGGCGAATTCAAATAGTTATGAATATTTTAGGTCGGCGTCGACAGCACTTAAATTCTAGGCGATCATAGCCTCCAAAGTTTTAGAAATTTCTTAGGAAAATATTAAAAAATTATTGAAAAAATGAGTTGGGCCCAAAACGCTGTCTATTAGCTCGTTTTTTAAAAAAGCAAATTTTTAAAGGTTTTTTTCAGCTTTAGAAGCGATTATATCCTAAAGTTTAAAAAATTGAGCCAGAAATTTACACTGTAAAGGGGCTTCCCACAAAAGATGGAACTCCATGAGACCAAAACATCTTTAAGTATAATGATTTAAAGGTGAAATTTGGTCTTCTGTCTCGTGCAGTCTTTGAATATAATAATAACTGCGATTCATAAGCATGATATATCATTTGTAAATATCGAACAAAAAACCTAACGCAAACTTGTTTAATTCTTTACCTTATCATTGAAAAAGCCATTAAAGGGAGTGACCGGCTATGTAAGGAAGTTGAACTGAGTATGCAGTGTTGTGGAAAACTTCTTTCGGATTCATTTGAGACTTATTAAACTTTTTAAAGATCTGTAAATCCTGAGTTTGAGCGCCGATTCGACATTCAAAACTCCTACTTTGGGGGTGGATATGTTTCCAGAATTAGTTTTTTTTTTAATTATTAAATAACGACAACGAAAAATAGAGTAAAAATTATACAGTAATCTAATTAAATGGTTGGAACATATTTCTCAAAAGAAATTTGTTAATATATCAATGCTAAAATCGATAATTTCGTTTTCATTATTTTATTGAATTTCTTTTTCTTCTTTGAATTTCTTCGCAGATTTTTTCAAATTCTTCAAATGTCGTCTTTTCAATAATAATTCTAGAAAATCTGCGAAGATCTTTGTGAAAAATGAGGAACCAGAATAATGAGAAAATAGAAACTAATAATTGAACAAGATTACTTATTTTCGATGATAAGATCAATTTGTATTTTCTCAACATGTTCCTATACATGAAAGTCGGTAGTTTATAGTAGAACTTTTTTTAGATTTTATGTCGTCGGTATTTAATAATTTAAAAAAACTAATTCTGAAAACGCATCCACACCCCCAAAGTTGGAGTTTTGAACGTCGAATTTGCGCTCAAACTCAGGATTTACAGTTCTTTAAAAAGTTTAACACAACACTGCATAGTGCATACCTAGTTTAACTGCCTTACATAAGCGGTCACTCCCTTTAAAGGGTTGTATTCAAGACTTAGTTTAGCCTTTGAATCGTCCGATTTAAAGAGTTTAAGACTGTCAAACGTTTTTAAAGATTCATCTTTTGTGGGTAACCCTGTTTAAATATTTTCTATTAGATCCAAAATGTTGCCAAATGTAACGCCTAAAAAAACTTAAAGTTTAAAATATCGGACAAAAAATTGCAGAAAGCTGCATCTTATTATTAGCTCTTTATATAACGCCCCCCCCCCCCCAGCCACCTTATTTTCATATATGAATTTAATTGTTTCAGACGTTGGTTCCAATACAGGGTTCTTCAGTTTACCTGCTGCTCAACGGTACTAAGTATTTTTGTAATTGTGTAATTGTCATATTCTTTCTTTGACAAAAGTTAAAATTTTTGACAAAATTCACATTTTTACAAAGGGTTCATCTTTTTCCGCCAAATTTCACCAATTTTGGAAAAAATTATTTGCAATGTTTGCAATTTTTCTGTAATTTCGTAATTTACTTTGTATCAAGTAGATCTCTACAGTGGTCGGCCTTTATTTCAATGCAATAAAGACGACCTTTCTATTAAGATTTAGATTTCTCTCAAGCTTTTTCAAATTACAAACAAACCCTATCCCTGCTCGGATATTTAAAAACCGGGATACGCTGGGATTTGTGGTGGGTCAAATTGATCTCCCCCCCTAAATCTCATGTTTTTTTTTTGCAAAATCCAGTTATATATAGTAAAAATGTTGGCAACAAAAATTACCGAAAATTGATAAAATATACATTTTTGGAAAGCTCTTGAACATGCTATTTAAAATTTGAAGAAAAGCTTGCAAAATTTTTAATAACCTGATGTGTAATTAAAAGAAATTAAAAATGTTCAAATTTATTTTAACAGGTTGTATGCAAATAATTTCAAAAATTTCTTTGCAACACTTCTACAATCAGTGTCTTAACGTCATAGACTTTCCAAAAAGCTAAAAGTTACTAAAATCTGACAACTGAAAGTGGGTCAAAGCAAAGATTTAGTTTGTTACCATGGCGACTGTATATGATTCTAAATAATGTATGTTGTTTAGGGGCAGTAAAGTTGTTGCTGTGGATGCTGTTTACAAGAATATGGTATTTCTCCACAAAAGCGCTGGTTAGTTTAAAGGGATTTTGTAATTTCCAGTGGTTTTTTATTCATGGGGGACATCCCTAATTCACTACAGTACCAAGGGGAATTTCCACGGGCAACGCCGGCACTTCAGCTTGTTACTATTAAAACCATATATTCTAAATAATTTATTACAATTTTACAAATCATTGCCGAAGTGGTAAAATATAATTTTGAAGAAAAAACATATTGTTCTAAAAACAATAACATCCCTTTTCACAAAAATAAAATGATTCAATTAACAAAAGATTGAAATAAGAAAAAAATATTAAGAAAATTTGTTTGAATTAATCAAACCCTTTGTTTAGTTTTGAACGGGGTAGAAAACAAGATTATTATGGTGAATAATGCAATCAGGAATAAGGGAATAGGGTTAAAGCATTTTCATAACAGCACATTTGTTTATTTATATTAGGAATCAAAAGTGAAAATTATTATTAATTAACGAATCTATCGAACTGCTCGTCTTTCTAATTTTTAGATACAGAAATGCAATAATGATAAGTTTATTGGCTTTTCCAAAAATGTTATCGAAATTATCTTTTGATAAAAAATTTTTACCATTTGTACCGGTCCCTGGGGTCATGTGACAATTCGTACGTTTCATCGTTTATTGGACACAAAAAAAAACCATGCATGGCAAACCAGATATATTATAAATGTATTGAGTGTAGTGATGTATATTCGAGCTATCTGGCAGGCCTAGACGAAAGGGAGGAGAAGAATGGAAACCAAATGGCTACAAGGTGCAGTTTAGTTAAACATGATTTTGTTTTCGTTTTATATTAGAAAAGAACTGGGTTTTGCAACAAACTTAAAGTTTTCATTCCTTTATCTGTACAACATATGATGATGTAAACCTTTGATATTACTAATTGCTTGATATAACATAATTCATAACTTAAAGCTACATTGGGTTGCAAAGATATGCAAATAAAAGTTTGTGGCCCAAGCTTAGTTTCTTTGTGTTCCATAATCAAATTTGCTCATTTTATTTGTTGGTAGAATTACAATTGACACACCCTAATAAATATCTAGAATTGACACACTGCACCCTAATAAATATCTAGAATTGACACACCCTAATAATTATCTAGAATTGACACACCCTATTAAATATCTAGAATTGACACACCCTAATAAATATATAGAATTGACACACCCTAATAAATATCTAGAATTGACACACCCTAATAATTATCTAGAATTGACACACCCTAATAAATATCTAGAATTGACACACACAAATAAATATCTAGAATTGACACACCCTAATAAACATCTAGAATTGACACACGCTAATAAATATCTAGAATTGACACACCCTAATAAATATCTAGAATTGACACACCCTAATAAACATCTAGAATTGACACACCCTAATAAATATCTAGAATTAACACACCCTAATAATTATCTAGAATTGTCACACCCTAATAAATATCTGAATTGACACGCCCTAATAAACATCTAGAATTGACACACACTAATAAATGTCTAGAATTGACACACCCTAATAAACATCTAGAATTGACACACGCTAATAAATATCTAGAATTGACACACGCTAATAAATATCTAGAATTGACACACCCTAATAAATATCTAGAATGCTGGCTGAGGGAGAAGTAAAGAAAGGGATTATACATTCTGACGGAACAGGGGTGTATTTTAACAAGAATAAAAAACAATCACATAATAGCGTAAGTATTTGAAAAGTATAAAAATCTGAAAAAATTCTTGTTACAGGGTTACCCACAAAGGATGAAAATATACAGAAAACTAACACAAGATGACTATCCCCAATATTAATTTTTTCTTCTTCTTTCTTTTCATACACTGAGACTGTAAAGACGATCTAAAACTAGATTATACGATTATCCCAATATTAAACTAAGTCTTCTTCCTTGAAAATATAGTTTAACTTAGCTTATTGAATTATTTTGCAAAAATTTTGTACAGTCTCATCCTTTTTGGGTAGCCCTGTATTTTGGCCAGATCGGCTCAGCCGTTTAGACGTTTATTGTATACAAATAAAAACAACCCAGATCTCAGATTAGCTAATAACATATTAATTATTTACAGCTACTTTACAATAAGGTTTATGACATTATCCGTTAGCAAGGGTTCCCAAGACTATTCAGATTATTATTTAGGGACGTAAAGTAACTGTTAAGGGAATCATGGGTCGGTATGTTGGCTAATAGGTGGTAAAATATCATAATATTTATCATCTCTTATTATTTTATAGATAACTGTTGATTTTGATAATGAAATAAGTTCAGTACTATTGGAGGATGTACTTAATCTAATCCAGGAGAACACTGTTATTATAAAAATGGACATAGAAGGGTTTGAATGTAAGGTATATAATGTTCTTAGCTTTCTATTCTTTTAATCTGAAAAACGATGTTTGAGAGTATAAACATAAATTGCTGTCAATGGTCTGACCCAAGTCACTCCAATTTAATCTGAATATTCAGTTGACCGGTATTACCGGTATGAGTTAGCAACCTCAAAACAATACAATTTTTAGAGAAATTTCACGCCCTATAACTTTTTAATGAATTCTAGCAAGAACCAACATACAAAGTTTGAAATATCAATGACTGCAAAGATTTATACGTATAAAGTGTGTCCCAAAAAACGACATTGTAGCACTCAATATGGTTCAATTTAAATAAATTGTACATTTTTGAAAATTATGCATGGAACATTTCCGATCTATTGATACCAATGACAAACTTTAAACAGTCAATCATACTACCTTAATATTAGTGGATTATACGTCTAATTGATATCGATGTACATTTTTTTAATCAAACCCTTGTGAGTGCTACAATGTCTTAAAGGTAGTTTTTTTGGGACAACCTGTAGTAATTATAGAACATTATAGATTATGACTATTTAATCAGTTCCTATAATTTCTTGTTTTAGGCCTTTACAAATTATTTACAAGATGTAGTAAAGGAGAAGTATATACCCTATATACTGGTAGAATGGGTGTTTATAAACAGTAAGGTGGCGAGGAGAACAAACTGTCCTGAGTATCCCTTACTAGTACGAGGTAAGATCAAAATGTAATTACATATTTAAAAAAGTACTTTTGAATAATTGTAGAAAGAAAAAAAATTCTGTCTAATATTTCTTATTTAGCTGTTTCACCTCATGTCACTTAAAACAAAATGTAATATGCATGCGAAAGCTTTCGCCACAAACTCAAATTTTCTAATCTCTATATATTTTCAACCTTATGGTATAAAACTTTAACATTTCAAACTTAGATTATATTTGATGAACTAACCTAATTCATAGCTAGAAATATGTAATTCATAGCTCGAAATATCTAATTCATAGCTCGAAATATCTAATTCATAGCTCGAAATAGCTAATTCATAGCTCGAAATATCTAATTCAGAGCTAGAAATATGTAATGGGTTCGTCGTAAGAACGTATTTTCTTTCAATAAGTAAATAATAAAATTTTTCTTAAAAAATTCCACTTGAATGAACCTAAAACAAATATCTAGGTAAGTTTCTTTCTGTTTTCCTGAAACTGGTTAACTAACTACTTTTAAAAAATAGTGTGCCGGGGGTATTTTTTTCAGTTTAATACAAAACTTAATAGTTTTCAGATAGAAAAATACGAATAACTCCATGATCCTTAAATATTTAACGGTTACTGTTGTGAATTCGACGTACATGCAAAAATGAATGGAGGGCTCTAGAAATCATATCTTAACAATTTTTTTCTAGGTTTCTTGAAATCTGGATATATACCGTTTACTCCCAATCAAACCAATATTGAAGGTAAATTATACACTAAAAACTCCGGTTCAGGTACCGCCATGAATTTTGGTCTATTTGAACATGTTGTGTAACAGTATACATCTAGCCTATCAAGGTTATAATGCAAGGAAAGTTATTTTAGAGGTGTCCGCATTTTTTTACTGTAGTGTACTGTCTCTGGGCGGTAATGTAAACACAAGACGGATGTCAAGCCTGACATGAGATCCATCTTACACATAAAAAATCAATGAAATATTCTGCTCATAGAAACAATTATGTTAATTATCTAAATTATCAAAATTTAATGCTTTTAATCTCCTCGGATACTAAACGAACACTGATGCATCTATTCTTGTTTACAAATTCCGCCCAGAGAGAACTGGTTCCAATATGTACGGAGAGCATACGCAACTGCAATTAACTTTCCTTGCATTATAACCATGTAGCCTATAGACTATAAAACAGAACGGTACACTACATTCACTTCTAGGAAGATTTATTTTGAAATTAAACTTTGTTTGTCTTAAATCAATTATTACAATCAATTGAGTTTTTGCCACAAATTTACTAATCTTTGTAATATAATGTATTTTAGAGATGAGTAGAGAAGACTTTAATATGGAATAGGGTTAAACTAACTTCGAAATACAGAGCAGTTTGAACTTTCAAAATATTGATTTTTTTATTTGTTAAACTAGGATGACAAAAAAACACAGAATATAAAAGTCCGTCAGGAAGACGACATTTATAGCGTACAAATGCCACTGTGCATTCTAGACAAAATTGCGCGTCATTCCGATTTTATTTAGCAAGCACTCAATCGATTTAGCTTTGTGATAACAGTTAGTTTTAGTAAGTTTAAGGGTGTTAAACATCACATTTAATAAGAAATTACCCAACAGCTATTTATTTTTAGATCTTGAAGGGATCGATGTAGTCAATGTTCTGTGGAAGCATAAATCTGCTAAGGTATACGTTTATCTATAATGTTACACTCAAATATAAGAAGACATCGGAAGAAATTGAAAAATGTCGTCTTGAAGATGTTTAATGGGTAATACCGCTGTGGAATATGTAATACAGGGTGTCCTATGAAAAACGACAGTGGCCTGTCCATTTGAATGTCATCTTTAATCTTTGACATAATATTCTGCATTTATTTGTCAACCTAATTTTAGAAGTACAATTTTAGAGTTAAAAATCACAAAATACTCCTGATATCCTGGCATTTCCTAAATGTGGTCCGCTGTTCTGTGCTTTCAATAATACCCAAGAAATAAAGAATTAAAGCTGCGAGCTGAAAACTTTGGAATAAATACAAGACAGCCAGGCGCGCAACTAGACATTTGGTTATGGGGGGGCTAGGGGTAAAATTTTTTTTGCCCCCCCCCCAAACATTTTTAGGGGGGGGGGGCAAGAAAAATGTGTGTTATACTTAAACAATAAAAAACTAACCTTACCAACCGGATATTCAGTAAGTCAACACATCTGATATGAAATAAAACAAAAAATCTATTCTGGTCAGGGGTGGATAAAGGGGGGGGGCGGGGTTACATTCGCCCCCCCTGACAGAAGGGAGGGGCGTAGCCCCCCCCAACCCCCCCTGAATTTGGAATTTTTTGTTCCTATTTTCAGAATAGCTTCTCAATAGCATGCTTAATTGGGAAAGAAACCCTAGTGCAAAACAGGAAAAATATCTATCTTAATAAACTATAATGTGTGAAAAGTTAAAAATCTAGTTTTTTAGTCTTTAGTCATTAATTTTCACTCTTTTGGAGTCTTTTAAGTCAAAACAAGTTTTCGCCTGCGCCGCGATTTTTGGTTCCTAATTCTAAATTTTTTTGTTCCTAAAAAATCTTGCCCCCCCCCCTTCACTTAAATCCTTTATCCGCCCCTGATTCTGGTATAAATCACAAAAAAAAACGTCAAAACAACTGAACTAATCGGGCCCAAATTTTGTGTGGAACCTTACGTGACCCAAGGGAAGGTTTATGAATGATCAAAATTTGAAAAATTTGTGTTTAAATTTTCTTTTTTTTAGTTTTTTTTTAATCTTGAAAATCCACGAATTTTTAAAATAAAATCCGCGAAATTCTTTTCTTCTTTGTTTTTCTATGATTACAATGCCACGTTCACAGTTGAAATAGAAGATGGGCGCGAAGCGCCCTTAAAGATTAGTTATATAAATTCTTTTGATGTCTTCTTATATATGAGTTTAACAGTTTACTGCAGTAATAAAAGATCAAATGTTCATTTGCAGCAATAAAGGTTTGAACTGTTAAGATTAATTGATCACAATGTAATTTAAACAGTTTGTTATTTTTGACGAATAGCTTAAGTTATTGATTGGGTTTATTTTGAGTATTTGTTTCTTAATTGTACCAATTTGTTAATTATTTCTATCAGAAAAGAATGTTACACTTTATTAATGTTTTAAGGTAAAATTTAAACTTTTGTTTATAAGAAACTGTACTTATATTTCCTTGCACTTACTTTTTAACTAGAAAATTAGGATATCACAGTCATCCTTGATGTAAAGGTTTTCAGGGCAATGCAGTGTTGTGAATTGATCAAGTACGTTTACCCCATAGAGAATAGAATATATATAGAGAATATATAGAGAGGAATTAAAAGAATCTCTCGGTATGAATTTTTTCAGTCCCTTTCAGCCTGAAAGGGAGTTCAAAGTGTACAAATACAACAAAATGGCCGTTTTACACTTTTTTCTAGTTAATTCCTCTCTATATATATATTCTATTCTCTATGGTTTACCCTCTGAATTCTTTAATAATGAAATAATAAAATGGCTATTTAGAAATAATATTTTAAATGAAAATAAGAACCATGCAGAACATATCGTAAAGATTGTTTCACTGGAATGTTTTTAGAAGAAAAGACATCTTTTTATTTTGGAAAAGTCCTAATTATGATTTTAATCGTTTATTGTGATATTAATTTGTCGTTTATTTTCAGACAGTTCCCTTCCTCACAGAACTGCAGAATTCAGACATACAGTTATAAGAGATTTACATCGTTATTTTACACTACTATCCATGGGCTCAAAGAGTTGCAGAAATCAAAAACTTTCCAAAATATGGGTTTCTACTGTTTCTTATACTCTTGTCCAGGCTCATAGAATGGCAGAAATCAGACTTGCCAATATAGAGAGTTTTACTGTTTCTATACTACTGTCCATGGGCTCACAGAACTGCAGAAATCAGACTTGCCAATACAGAGAGTTATACTGTTTCCTATACTACTGTCTATGGGCTCACAGAACTGCAGAAATTATACTTGCCAATATAGAGAGTTATACTGTTTCTTATACTACTGTCCAGGCTCATAGAATAGCAGAAATCAGACTTGCCAATATAGAGAGTTTTACTGTTTCTTAAACTGTTGTCCAGGCTTATAGAATGGCAGAAATCAAGACTTTCAAATGTAGAGAGTTATACTGTTTCTTATACTCCTGTCCAGGCTCATAGAATGGCAGAAATCAGACTTGCCAATATAGAGAGTTATACTGTTTCTTATACTCCTGTCCAGGCTCATAGAATGGCAGAAATCAGACTTGCCAATATAGAGAGTTTTACTGTTTCTTAAACTGTTGTCCAGGCTTATAGAATGGCAGAAATCAGACTTGCCAATATAGAGAGTTATACTGTTTCTTATACTCCTGTCCAGGCTCATAGAATGGCAGAAATCAGACTTGCCAATATAGAAAGTAATATTGTTTTTATACTGCTGTTTCGGCTCAAAGAACTGCAGGAATTAGACTTGCCAATTTAGAGAATTATACCGTTTCTTATGCTGCTGTTTGGGCTCATAGAATTATAAAAAATTTGACTTTCCAATATAGAGAATTATACCGTTTCTTATACTACTCTCCATGGGCTCACGGAACTGCAGAAATTAGAATTGCCAATATAGAGAGTTATACTATTTCTTATACTACTGTCCATGGGCTCACAGAACTGCAGAAATCAGACTTGCCAATATAGAGAGTTATACTGTTTTTATACTGCTGTTTCGGCTCACAGAACTGCAGAAATCAGACTTGCCAATATGAAGAGTTATACTGTTTTCATACTGCTGTTTCGGCTCACAGAACTACAGAAATCCAACTTGCCAATATAGAGAGTTTTACTGTTTCTTATACTCCTGTCCAGGCTCATAGAATGGCAGAAATCAGACTTGCCAATATAGAGAGTTATACTGTTTCTTATGCTGCTGTTTAGGCTCATAGAATTGTAAAAAATTAGACTTGCCAATGACAGGCGGATTTTTGGTAATGTCAATTTGGTAATGACAATTTGGTAATGACAATTTGGTAATGACAATTTTGTAAGGCGCCAATTTGGTAACGACAATTTGGTAATGACAATTTGGTAAGCTCACAAAAGTGACAATTTGGTAATGACAATATGGTAACTATAAAAAAGTGACAATTTTGTAATAACATTTTGGTAACTACAAAAAAGTGACAATTTGTTGATACAAGTTAAATTTAATTCAATTTAATGTTTAATAATTTGGTGTTTCTCACATTATTTAGGGTTAGGTTAGGTTAAGACAATTTCTGGGCCGAGCGCTGCGGCTAGGATGGGCTAGGGGGCCGAGCGCTGCGGCCTATTAAAAGTTTAATAATGTGCTGTTTCTCTCGATATTTTGGGTTAGGTAAGGTTAAGACAATTTCTGGGCCGAGCGCTGTGGCTAGGATGGGCTAGGGGGCCGAGTGCTGCGGCTTATTAAATGTTAAATGTTGATTATAAAAGGGACAGTTTGGTAACTACATATAAAAAGTAACATTAATAACTTCCTAACATTGACATACATAAACTCCGCTCTTGTTGTCGTATTTAAATCCTTAGAAGGGGTGATGAATAAGTAATTCATGATCTAAGTCTCTTCTTCTTGCAGTATATGACTCAAGTGCAGGTTGAAACGTGGTTTTTAAAAAAATATTGCGAATTTTACAATTATTTTTGGCGCATTTCTTTTGTGCAGAAATAAAAGATTCCTAGAATCAATTATCTTCAATTGAATATAAAACTAAAAATTAAACAATTTTACATAATGTCACTTTTATTTCATTTACCAAATTGTCACTTTTATGACGTTACCAAATTTTTATTACCAAATTGTTACTTTTTTGTTGTTACCAATTTGTCATTACCAAATTGTCACTTTTGTGAGCTTACAAAATTGTCACCTTACCAAATTGTCAGCTTACCAAATTGTAATTACCGAATTGTCATTACCAAATTGTCATTCAAAAATCCGCCCATCCTTGCCAATATAGAGAATTATACCGTTTCTTATGCTGCTGTGTAGGCTCATAGAATTGTAAAAAATTAGATTTGCCAATATAGAGATTTATACCGTTTCTTATACTGCTGTCCATGCTCACAAAATTACTTGCCAAAAATCAGGCTTGCCAAAAGCTAAATATATACCGATTTTTATTCTGCAAACTGTAATACAGCTAATTCTAAAAATCAGACTTGCCAATAACAATTTATACCATTTTTAATGCTGCATTTATACTTCAATACTTTAAAAATCAGACTTGCCAATATGTGTGATTTATACCGTTTTTTTACTTCTGTCTTGTTATACAAATAAATTGGTATTTTGAACCCACTGTTAATGTAATTTAACCCNTAGAGGGTTGCCCACAAAGGATGAGACTTAAGAGACGATTGTGCGGAATTTGTTCAGTCCGTTGTCTTGCCTTGCCTACAGTATTCCTTGTCGGACAAAACTGGCTTATTTCTGTGCTTAATCATTTAGAAACCCATCAAAATACTTTATTCAATGATGAAACCAAAAATCAGGCTTTCAATTGTCATATTTTTGGTCGTCTTTACCTTCTCTTCCTTTGTGGGTAACCCTGTTGTTATCATAAACCACCCTGTAAAATACAAATAAACTGCAGTACATCCTATTTAAGTTACTGTAAAAAATGTGGAAGATATTGTCGTTTTTTAGATATTAGTTCCATCCCCCCTGAGTTCCATAGCATAATTTTGAATATCATTTACAACCAAACCAGGTGTAAAATTTCAATTTCAATAGTATCCTTTGAATAGTTTTTAATTTTATACTATGGTTTCAGAGATTGAACTTGTGTGGGAAATATATAAGCAACATTGCATTTAATGTTGTCTTTTCCGTCGAAAATATAAAGACGTCTGACATTCACAGCATTGTATATCTACCGTACATTTTTTATGTTAAATCCCGCCTCCTCCCCCCCACCTAGTGTCTAGGTACATAAATCACACTATCTGTTTTATCAGTATTAAAACTTATATTGCGAAAAATTCACTTCCTCTTATCTCCCCCCCCCCTCACTTTCAAGCAATTTGCACTTTTAGTGTTTGCAACATTTAGATAATCCCTCATCATGAAGATTGTATTAAATTTCTTACGTAAACCTAACTTACAAGAAAGTAATTCCTTTCTTTTTGTCTGTATCGGAATATTTTGATCTTTAATTCAAAATACAGGGTGTCCCAAAAAACATCGGAATTCAGTGACGAATTCGATATCGTCTTTGTTATGAATTAGCATTAAAATACCTAATTTCAAAAGCCATAATATGATTATGTCTGCCAGAGTTTATTTTATGAGAAGGGTAAAAGACATGTAAAGATGTGTCTCAATAATGTCTCATCAAGATGGAAAGTGAAGACGGACAAGTTTGCTCTGTTTGTAGACTGCAATTTTCTTGTTTTACTAAGTACAACCGTATGCAGTCAAAACATAAACAAACAAAAGACTTTGCTAATTAGCAAAGTCTTTGAAACAAACAAAATGTGAACATAGCAGACGAAAATCTTACAGATTACAGCTTTCTCAGTAGGTATCACTAGGTATCACTATACTAAATCAAAGAATTATTTAAAAATATGATATCGAATTCGTCTCTGAATTCCATTGTTTATTGGGACACCAGCTGTATATGTCGAAATTAGCGTAAAAGTTTAATATAATTTCATATTTAAAATAGATGGTCAAACAAAATATATAAAAAAGCAAATACAAAAAAACTCTTCATTAAAAGGGGAAACAATCTCTTCATTTTTATTTAAGTTATTATTCAAATACAGTGGTCAGCGATTGTATCAATACAATGAAGACAACTTTTATCAATAATGCTTTGATCCCATTTCTGTTGTTTGAAAGCTTGGTTGTAATCAAAATTGAAATAGAAAAGGAATTGTATTTGGACCCTACTACTGAAATAGAAAAGGAATATTTGGACCCTACTACTGAAATAGAAAAGGAATATTTAGACCCTACTACAGAAATAGAAAAAGAATATTTGGACCCTACTACTGAAATAGAAAAGGAATATTTGGACCCTACTACTGAAATAGAAAAGAAATATTTGGACGCTACTACTGAAATAGAAAAGTAATATTTGACCCTACTACTGAAATAGAAAAGGAATATTTGGACCCTACTACTGAAATAGAAAAGGAATATTTGGACCCTACTACTGAAATAGAAAAGAAATATTTTGACGCTACTACTGAAATAGAAAAGGAATATTTGGACTCCCTACTACTGAAATAGAAAAGGAATATTTGGACCCTACTACTGAAATAGAAAAGGTATATTTGGACCCTACTACTGAAATAGAAAAGGAATATTTGGACCCTACTACTGAAATAGAAAAGGAATATTTGGACCCTACTGCTGAAATAGAAAAGAAATATTTGGACGCTACTACTGAAATAGAAAAGGTATATTTGGAACCTAATACTGAAAGAGAAAAGGAACGATAATTACTTGGCATGTTTTAGCTTCATCTGATCCTGGATATTTCAATTATAGTTTAATATTTACTCGGCAGGTGTCTCATTTGTCATTATGTATAATTATATTATTATGAGAGATACCTCAAGAATTTAGCATAAGGTATTTTGTTTGGATAAAAAGTTAAAGAATTAAATGTTTAAACACGTATTGGTGAATTAAGTGGAGGATTTGTATAAAAGATTGAGCTGATCTTCTTCTGATATGTAAAGTATCGTTTGTTTTTATTGAATTGTTAGTGAGTTAAACTAGGGCTAGGTCCAGACTAACTGCGATATTAACAGTTGTAACTATTTCTTTATCCGGAAAGTTCCTTTATTAGGAAATCTTTCAGCTAAAACTTTGGCGAGACAACTAACTATCTACCTCCACGACCTTAGAGACCACATAACCATGCATGACTCTTTCAAATAGTAGAAGAGACTATGAAATAAACAATATTTTCTTAGTTGAGTTTTGTTAATAGAAAAAACATAAACCAATTCATAAATGCTTTTTTATTAAATTGTAAGTGAGTTAAACTAGGGCTAGGTCCAGACTAACTGCAATATAAACAGTTGTACATCATAAGCATAAAATATTACTTTGATTATCGTTTTCATTAAGATGAAAGAGTTGTGTTTATAGAAATATTTAAAAAGCTAATGCTTCTCTTTGACCACGGGCATGTCCTTCAGAGTCAATAGCGATCTAACCAAGATAAATGCCGCTGGAAAAAAAAGACGGTCATGTGAAGAAAATATATGGTCTTTCGGTTTTCCGCACATCATTGTCTTTCTGACCTTGCTCTTCCCTCTTAACTTAACTTCCCTCTCCTTTCACCGCTCCCCTCTCCTTTTACCGCTCCTCTCCTTTCACCCCTCCTCTGTCCTTTCACCGCTCCCCTCTCCTTTCACCGCTCCCCTCACCTTACACCGCTCCCCTCCCCTTTCACCACTCCCCTATACATTTACTTCTCCTCTCTCTTTTTACTGCTCCCCTCTCCTTTCACCGTTCCCCTCTCCTTTCACCACTACCCTTTCCTTTTACCGCTCCCATCTCCATTCACCGGTCCTCTCTCCTTTTAACACTCCTCTCTCCTTTCACCGCTCCCCTCTCAATTCACTGCTACCCTCTCCTTTCACCGCTCCTCTCTCCTTTTACCGCTCCCCTCTCCTTTCACCGCTCCCCTCTCCTTTCACCGCTCCCCTCTTCGCGGCCTTTTACCACTCCCCTCTTCTTTCATCGCTCTCCTCTCCTTTCACCGTTCCCCTCTCCTTTCACCACTCCTCTCTTTTCATTGCTCCCCTCTCCTTTCAACGCTCCCCTCTCCTTTCACCGCTCCTCTCTCCTTTTACCACTCCTCTCTCCTTTCACCGCTCCCCTCTCTTTTCACCATCTATTCCTTCAAAATCTTACAACTATAGGTTGTTGTTTACCGTTATTAAAAACGGTAGATTTTTTTCTTCCGAAATCCACAAAAATTAAAAATAGCTTTTCCCGGGACATCATTGTGTCCTGTTATTGTAAATAAACAAATTTCCACTAAAATCAAAAATGCGGCGCAAATGGTTCTTGCGAGATCGATTCTTAAATAAAACAATAAATTTACTAAATTAAAATAAAGTTTATTAATATTTAGATAGTTGTTCAGGTACACTATAAAGTAAATATAAAGCCAATAATTTATCACAGTTCAAAAATATAACACAGGGATATAAACGATGCAAGGTTTATTATTGATTAGTTAAAAAAACAATTTTTTTTAAGGAACTGAGTTCTTTCCACAAACTCTGATTTTTAATCCCTAAATATTTGCATCCCAATGTCGTTGATATTTTTTAACTATGAATTCTGTTAGTTTAAATAGTCTAAGCTTAAAATATCAAATATTTACACCATTAGGCTGCAAAGATAAAGGGACTAGAATATTTCAGTTAGTGACAAAACTTAATTTTTTTCATCACAAGAATTTTTTAATTAAAAATTATTGTTAAATCAATAAAAACTTAAAGTTTATCTACCACACTATGATTTCTATAATTTACAATTTTAGTAAAACTACAGGAATTAAAAATTAAATAGAATTTAGAATTAATTATGTATATTGTTATCTATATCCAATTCATGTGTTTTAACAACCCCTAAAATAATCTAGTCTAAAATAATCTAGTCTTTAGTTAAAGCCTCTTAGTTTGTTTTCGTGTTACAATTTTACAAATTTGTAAAATGTTTTAACTTAAATTAATGCAAAATGAAACCAATAACACAAAGAGCAAGGCAAATATAATTTTCATAGAAAATAAGAACTTTTACTTTATAACTTGATAATATATATCCTGTTTTTTGTGACTTTATTACACAGCTTAACTTTAGCTTACAGCTGTACATTGTACAGAGTACATAAGCATTGTACAATTACAATAATTCAATTCACTTTACTAGCAACTGTTTTTCTACCTATTTAGTGTAAGACAACCTGAAGTATAAATAATAAACCTTGCATCTTTTATCTGTGTTATGTTGGCAACATGAATTCTACATTTAGTACATTAAGATATTGTTAGTAAAAATACAAATATAATACAATTTTCATTTAAGTAAAGAGATGTTTTGATCCGAAGGCGTCAGCATTATCTGTATTATTCAGCAGCAAGTAAATTTAACTGACCAGAAATTTAAATCGTATTTCCTAATCATGGTAATTTTGAATCAGGAAAAAAATGTAATTTTATTATTTTTGACGAAAGAAATAAAGAAAAACAAATGTTTGAATATATCCAATTTAAATACAATGTTTTCAGATGTTTTAATTTGTTTAAAAATAATTTTTAATCGTTTTATTACCAATTCATTTACCTGTTATCTTACACTCTTTTTTATGTGATGTACGATATGGGGCTTTTTAATATTTCCTGACTGTTCGGAATTAAAAGAATGAACCTAACACGCTTAATACTTTCTGGATTGTTATTTTCAACACAAATTTTCAGTTGTAAAACTATATAAATTTGGGATTTTTTTCTCACACAAAAACTGTAAACTCCGGTTCATTTCAAGGTCATGAGTCTAAAACTGAAGAACATAAAGTTACGATTTAAATGTTAAGTACATGTTTATATGCCACTTTTGACTTTATTTAAACCTGAATTTTAACTCTAGGTTTATATATAAGTGAAAACCTTGATTAAATAAATTTAATGTTTTAGATTAATTTATGTTTGCACGTAAACCCCAAATACGATTGTAACTGGAAATATGTTTTGTTTTCTGTCACGTAAATAATTTAAAATTAAAAAACAGCTGACATGCGATGGTTACGTACGCGTAATATATCTTCCCGTAAATCCTTTTCTCTGATTGGTTCAGATTTTTCCCGGGTAATTCAAATGTTCCTTAAGGGTTTAATTGAGAGTTCAATATTTAAGTAGCAACTCATTATTTTACAGAACTTTTAAGCTTTAACTTAAATTTCGCACATTCTTTAGTTTTAGACTCATGCCTAATTTTAATCAGCTATAGAATGCTGTACAGTGCGAAAGATAATTGTTTTGATGGAAAAGTGACATAAAACATGTCTATTATTGTTAATTTATACAGGGTGTCCAGTATAAGTAGGGGTATTTGTTACTGACGAAACAATTTTTACAATAAAGATGTCATAACAGAGCTCTATATTTCTGTTCTTTCATGATGTAAAAGTTTTTCTTCTAGGTCTCATACTGTTTTTTTACAACCAATAATTTGAGCAAAAGTGGAAAATCGATTTCCCGGATTTTTCAAATTTTCGATTTTTCACGTCTCATTTTCATTCGGTCATAGAATATGAAATAATTAAAGATTTTCTATTTTTTTTCAAAATCATTAGGTGTTAGTCTTAGTTTTCATTTTGACTAAAATTTCAGATCAGCAATCATTAATTTTGGAGCTAGTGCAGTCTGAAAATATATGCATAAAAAAACGAAAATTAAAAAAATCTTTAAAAAAAATACTTTAATTAAGAATATTTTTTACTTTAGAAATGATTTTTACGCCTGCATTTCTTATTTGTTCATTTTTATGATAGCTTTAAAATATTAGGCAGTTAAATAGGCCAGTGGTTATTATGACCTCGAAAATCACCACTTTGAGGTCAAAAAGGTCAAAACTGCCGTCAACAGTTATGTTAGTGACATAAAAATAGTAAGAATGAATTTACCCAACTTGAAGGTCAACTCGGGGTTCAAATTTCCGAAACAAATAGGATTGAACAAGGGTTCACCAAGGGCATTTACCCCTACTTAGACACCCATGACGATGTGTTTATGCTAATAATAAAATTTGACCTCCTAAAATGACCCCTTAGAAATCTAATTGGCGGATAATGACCTCTGCTTTTTTCATAAACCAATATCATTTTTGATATTTTCTTTTGCCTAACAATACCTTTTGCTCTCTAAGACATAAGTTTACATTTGAGAATGTGTTCTTTTTATGCGTGAAACTGAAAAGTCCCTTAGAAGGTCCCATAAAAAACTCACAACATTTTTGGCCTATTTAACTTCCTAATATCTTAAACCTAATAATAAATGCAGGCATAACCATCATTTGAGAAGTAAAAATATTCTTAATTAAAGTGTTGTTTTTTTAAAGATTTTTTTGTTATTTAAGATTCACAAAAAATGTTTTATTTTTTGTCCAGGTGGGATAGATGAAAAAATTTTGGTTGAAAAAGCGAGTTGTGGATTGTACAAACTGATTTAAAAATTAAATTTAAAAAGAATTATTTTTGTGGTCTGGGCAAGGTTCGTACGGCTTTCTTTTTGGTTCTTTTTTTAATGCATATTTTATTTTCAGATTGCTCTAGCTCCAGTAGTAATGATCGCTGATCTGAAATTTAGTTAAAAATGAAACCTAAGACTAAAAGCTTATAATTTAAAAAAAATCGAAAATCTTAAATTTTGAAAAATTGAAAAATCCGGGAAATCGATTTTCAATATACGCTCCAATAATTGGTTGTAACAAAAAAGTGTGAGGCCTAGAAGGAAAAAATTTACATCATGAAATAACTGAAACCTAAAGCTTTCTTATGACACCTTGATTGTGAAAATTGAACGAAAATTGTTTCCTCAGTAAACAATACCCTTACTGCACAGTTTTTTCTGGGACACCCTGTATGTGTAGTACTATAGTTTTCTGGAACACCCTGTATGTGTAGTACTATAGTTTTCAGATCTGAGCCGAGATTTAAAAGTAAACTTAGATTTCTTCAAGTTCGATTGTTTTACCGCTCATGCTTCAACGTACTTGGGTTCATAGTGTGCTTATTTTACTCGGGTTGATGTTTTTTAAAATCTCAGCTCTGCTAAATCTGTTGGATCTGCTCAAGTCGACGTCGTGTATGTCAATACAATGAAGACGACGTACAGCAATGATACACATAAACATAAGAACAAAGGGAAGTTGTCATTTAAAAGCTTCAATTTGTTTGCTTGTAACTTGTAATCTAAAAATAAAAATTTAGAAGAAAAGTCGTCTTTAATGTATTGATATAAACGCCAACCAATGTAGATCTGCTGCTAGATTTGTTGTTCTGTATTATTTGTAATCTCTGTTTCCTCCTCAATAACACTGTTATTTCTAAAATACTGTTGAATCAAATCCAAGCTGAGACCCTGAAACAAAAAAAATAGTTTAAGATTTGTTTGTCATTGAGTCCAAAAAGGTAACTATGGAATAGGAAGACGACTTTTAGACTTAAATTATGATGTTGAATAGTTCAATGAATAAGAAAGAAATCAATTGTGCAGTGTCCACAGCCCAATTTCACTTCATAGGATTATTTTCAAGCTACAGGAAGTTTCCACAGTTTTATTTTCCCCATTATATGGTGTTGAATTAGACCTTTTTCTAAGGCTTTCAAGGTGCTTCCCACCTTTCGTTTATTTTAACTTTTAATTATTGTTTTATCTGCAACTTGTTAGAAGATAGAACTAGGGAAATATGCTGAGCTTGGTTAAATATTTCTAAGTCAAATATGAAAGAGAAAGTTTAGCTTCTAGGCAAAGCTTGGTTCACATTATAAAACAGTAACAAAAAAGTTTGCGGATTTAATTATTTTTTTCGTGGATTTTCTAAATTTTGTAAAAATCTAAATTTTTAGAGGAAAACTTTTGAAACTCTGATGATCCATGAGGATAAGGATGAGGATTACTGAGTATATTACCTTAGTTTCAGGAAGTATGAAGAATATGATGGGGAAGAAGAGGATGAGTATGAAGGAGTATGTGAGGAAGGTACCAGGGAGGGTGAGGAGGGTTTCCACCCAGGGGAACATCTTCAAGCAAAGAACTAGCAGTAGGCAGGTCCAGGATCTTGTTAATCCCTAAATAAAGATATTTTAGAAATGTAATAATAAAATAAATAATAAATAAAAAAGGGACTGTCCTCGTAAATTTAAAGAGGGGTATGCACCACGAAATGGTTTTCTTTTGAAAAGATTTTCTCGACTTTCCGAAAGTTCTGAAAGTTGATAGTTTTGTTGTTTCTTTAACAATGTGCAATTTCCCTGAGGTACTTCCCAAGTGGCAACTTCCGAAATCTGTTATAGCCGCAGTGCTCAGCCCCTGGCCCATTATTGCTTGCAGTGTTCGGCCCCGATTTCAGCCTGCAGCTGCTTTAAAAAGCCTAACCTAGCCTTAAATGTACATTTGAAAGTTGCCGCTCAGGAAATTTTACATTTCGGAAGTTGTCATTTGGGAAAAGGCATTTGGGAAACTACACATAGCTCCAGACTGCTATGAAAAGTTGCATGTGTTCAAGACTAGGTCAACTTTAAAGTGTCGCCACACCTTTAACATTTCAGTTCAACTCAGCTAACTCACTTTTACTCCCTTGTAGTTCTAGTCATTTAGAATTGTAAGAACAGTTTTGTTTGGTTCAGTTTTCACAGTTTTTTTTTTACAAAATGACCATATTTTCGGCCCAAATAGTTATGATTATGGTCTAAATAAGTTACTTCAATTACAAAAACTTCAACTTAAGGGACAAAATTAATAAAAAAAAATTGGTTATAATTAAAATCCTATTTAACTGACATTAAGCGTTATTTTCAAGTGACAAAGTGACAAGTGACGAAAATGATCGATTCACAACAGTACCCCAGTAAAGTTTTGTCTGATCAAGTATGAATAAAAGATCCTTTTTTTGTTTCTTTAAACTGATTACTTTCATTTTGACATTTAACGTGTATCCATCCATATTGATTTTATGATTCACGCAACCTCTACTGTTTAGCTTGTTTTAAACTAAGCGAACTGGGCACTTACAATATGTGCCCTATTCTTTACAAGCACACACCCCTTCATTTAGTTTCCTTCTTGGGTGGATTTTAGTTGAATCCAGATTAAACCAGTTCATAATTACTGGAGCTAGGGAAATACAGGATATATACAATTTAACATAACAGTTGAAAACATACTTACTAATGTACAAAAAATGTTTTCATAACGCCGAGTACCTCCTGTTTAAGCAGGGTTACACACAACGGATGAGACTGAAAAGACGACCTTAAACTCTTTAAATCTGACATTTCAAGTTTAAAATAAGTCTTCTGTGAATATACTCTTTTAATGGGTTATTCAATGAATATGCAAATAAAGGGAACCACAATTTTAAAGAATTTCTGAAGTCTCAACCTTTGTGGGTAACCCTGTATTTAAAAAATAACAAAGAAATAAAAAACTTTGATTTTATTCAATAACTTTAAAATCCAGTCAATTTAGCAACACAAAAATGACAAACCACATTTAAATAATGACAGGTATGTTTTTTTTTCATGGTAACTAAATTTGCAAAAGTTTATAATATGATTCTATATGAAGCAATGAGGAATTGCTTGAGGGGATGCTTTCCAACCAATTTCTAATAATTGGCTAATCTCAATGACTAGAGGTTAAATCGTGAAACTCTTGAAACGGTCGGAATTTACAGGGTGTCCCAATAAACATGGGAATTAAGTGAAGAAAAGGAAATCGTTTTTTTTTGAATTAGCTTTGTTTTACCTAATTTTATTTTTTATTATAAAGTTAAAGTATATTTCATGTAAACGGTAAAAGACTGTTGTGCCGTACTTTATAAAACGTTCTATAATTTGTGTCTGTAACATTTCTGCAAGATAATTAGTGATAAGGAAAACCCATGGACTGTGTTTGAGTGCAAACATTTTCCATTTTACTATTACTGTACAGTATGCAATAAAAAACGTACAAAATAGCTACTCAATTCCCATGTTTATTGGGACACACTGTTTCAATTTAAAATGCATTCATTGCAATTTGCATGGTTTCTCATATAAAGTGGAAAACATTGGTTATATTTAGAATAAAGATACTTTTAATACAATAAAAGAATATAAATTAAGACGACATTTTGTATAAAGATGTCATTTTAAAATGCCAAATAAATTTGAGAAACTGCCACAAAGGATAAGGCTTCAGAGATGACTGTACGGTAATAGTTTGACTCTTTTTCGATCTTAAATTCAGGGTTCCCTTCATCCTTAAACTAGCGTTGTTGACTTTAAAATGAAATAAAAGAGATCTAATGGTATTTCTAATCTTTATTTATTAGAACAAAAGGTTATGAAATATTTTCCCAAGTGGGGCTTAAATTGATTGGTTTAGAAATTAATAAAGAAACTATAGACGAATATCAGTTAGAAGGTGTTTGTAGAACTTCATGATGGTGATGCAGATCATCAATCTTGACGGCAGGCTTTCTCACAACTAGGCTTAGTCTAAGGGAGAGAGATTGCGGACTTATCCTGTATACAGGATAATGGAAGGAAGTCTGGTTCCGCCCGGATCTCTGGAACATTGCGGAGCGAACTATTGTTACCTTCTCCTGCGGAGCGAACTATTGTTACCTTCTCCTGCGGAGCGAACTATTGTTACCTTCTCCTGTGGGAGGGAGAGATTGCGGACTTATCCTGTATACAGGATAATGGAAGGAAGTCTGGTTCCGCCCGGATCTCTGGAACTTTGTGGAGCGCGGAGCTAGGTGTAAGCAGTNCAGTAAACTAATTTGATGTTTATCTAGAAAGGATGGATGAACAAAGGAACATATATATATATATATATATGAATTAAACACCGCTATACCGGAAGGTAAAAATACCACGCTATATGCATAGATGAATTAAAAGTGAATGAAGGAAGGATGAATGAATGAATAAAAGGATGAAAAAATGAATGAATAAATAAATAAATGAAATATCTTCCTGTATACAGGAATAAATGAATAAATAAATAGATAAACAGATATATGAATAAATTAATAAATGAATAGATGAACAAAAGAATGTATAAATGAAAAAATGAGTAAATAAATGAATAAAAGGATGAATAAATGAATTATTTACCTGAATATAGGATTGAATGAATCCTGAGCTAGGAAGGAGAATAATGAGAATGTGAGAAGACAGAGAATACTGGGAACAGTTCATCATTAATCATCATTAATAATGTTTCAAGAAAATCCGAACACTTTGTTTTGGTTTGGGAGTTAGAATTTTTGCCACTAATATTGCAAATGATATGGCCCTTCAAAGCATGAAGGTCATTGCAAACATTCATTTGATGAAAATGTAAGTAAGTAAGTAATATTTATTGCACAATAACATGTTAACATATTAAAGTGGCAGGAGATATACAATTCGCAGGATTGCGGTTTACAACGTAGATCTCATAATACAGTCTTTAAAACAAATTTTACATTAACAAGAAAATAATCCATTGGTAATCAATATATTTTTCATAACATGAATGGAACGTACAAGGTGGCGAACTTATGTGCTGGATGGCTGGAAAAGAGTCTCGATTATTAGCGGTCCGACAATTATTTCTGAATATTGTAAATGTAGAAAGTAATTAGCCCTGTAAACCTGTTTGACGCAATTAGAAAGTAAAAGTTTAAACAGCTGATTGTTAGAAACAGTTAGCAGACCGATGTGCGTAATAAATGAAATTGCTTAGTCGGGAAGAATGTATGAGTTGTTAATATATTTAGTTGCTATGCAAAACAACTTTTTATATGTTTGTTTTAAAATGCAAAAAAGTTCAAAGAAATAGATGATAAAAAACAAAAGCAAAAAAACACTCTAACATTGTATACAATTGCTTAATCGCCATCGAAGAAACTAAGAGACCTAATTCGAATTTAATGAATTTGAGCCGCGTCTCAAATCCGTCAAAAACCGGTTTCAATTGAACGCCGGATTAAATCTTGAAACATTAAATATAATTTAAAGTGAAAACAACCATATTTGAGCCGCGGCTCAAATTCTTTAGATTTGGCCTCCGATATGTAGAATTCCAGACAGTCGGAACGATTCAAATAGCAATCGGAGTACTAATAAAATCAAATCTAAAATTCCCCCTTTTCCCTCATGAACAATTGGGATTCATTATTGTTTGTGATATTTATATTGAATTTTTTACGAAATCTTTATGTCATAAATAATTGGTTTTATTTTATTAAAAGTATTGTCAGGTTACAGCTATGTAATAGTCTAAATATCTTTGAAATACTATTAAAAATAATCGAATTCGCATTAATGATGAATTATATATAGTGAGATCCACAAAACTGCGTAAGAGGAGGACAATGTTTTAAATCCATTTTTGATTCTTGAAACTCACAAACCCATTGTCCCTGGACCCTGACTTCCTACTGGTAAGACAATTTAAAATCTAACAACATCAAATACACATACGATTCTTAAATATCCACTTCCACGGGCATCCACATACCTAGCTCTATGTCGTACACGACTAGCCGGTGCAACAAGGTTGACGCGGCCAGGCTTTATGCTTCATTGGAGCTAGAAAGATCCCCACCACTCAATGCGGAGAAATTGGGGTACGGAAGATTATACTTAAACTTGTATAATAATAATGATGTCATCCAAGGATAAAATAATCATGTACATGTCATATTTCAGTATATGAATACATATATATACATATATTAAATCTATATACAGGCAAACCATAAATACATCTATCTATCTATCTATCTATCTTTCTATCTATAAGCACATCTTTTACACGTAAAATTTACATTTACTATGCTTATTCATATGCACGCGTGTTTAGTGCATATAAAGGTGTACATAAAGGGTGTCACAGAATAAATTAAGGTTGTACAATATGCAGTATACAGGGTGATGTATTTTCCAAGGGTATAGCCAATAGTACAGGGTGTCCCATCTTTAAGAGTGTCCCAATACAGGGCGAAGTGGAATATTTAAAGATTATAGAATAAATAAATTTCAAAGTATTATTTTTCAGATCACCCTTTGCCAAATACAGCATATGGTTATTAGGCTTTAAACCTGCATTTTATGTGTAGAAATACCATTAAAAACTAGACAATAAACACCCTGAATAAAATGTTTAGGATTCTTACTACGCAATTATAAATATAAAACTGAGAGCATTATAAAGTGGAATATGTGAATAATGAATATATTGCCAACGCTAAGCGGTTGAAACGAAAAAATGCAGAAGGGTGGGAGGGGTGGGGCGTTTAATTTTAGAAGATTTAAGAAACAAATATTTGGATTTAGTATTTAATAGTGAAATTGCCATTACTGATTTTTCTATCCAATTTTTAAATTTTAGAAAATTGTTCTGAAAAAGAAGAAAATAAGATTGGGAAAAAATCAGGATAATTTTAATTTTACAGTGCATATTTGTTCAGCAAGAGCGCAAATCCAATATTTTAAATCCTCAATGATTGTCCATTTTGAAGTGATGATTTTGAGAATCAGTTTTATAAAAATTTTACAAAGCGATGGAGAAAAATGTAACAAAATTTTATACAGTAAACTAATTTGATGTTTATGTACATATTTCTCGTTAGAACGTGTTCAATAAATAAATTTCAGAATCAATAGTTTCTTTTTCATCATTAACTTGATTTTCTTATGCTCTATGATTTTTTTTGCAGATTTCATCAAATTCTACAAATGTCGTCTTTTCATTAAAAAATTCCAGAAAATCTGCAAAAAATGGTTTTGAACATTGAGAGATTGAGGACATTAGTTTCATTACAGGCGAAGTACCCAGCTTCGCCTAGAAAGGATGGATGAACAAAGGAACATATATATATATATATATATGAATTAAACACCGCTATACCGGAAGGTAAAAATACCACGCTATATGCATAGATGAATTAAAAGTGAATGAAGGAAGGATGAATGAATGAATAAAAGGATGAAAAAATGAATGAATAAATAAATAAATGAAATATCTTCCTGTATACAGGAATAAATGAATAAATAAATAGATAAACAGATATATGAATAAATTAATAAATGAATAGATGAACAAAAGAATGTATAAATGAAAAAATGAGTAAATAAATGAATAAAAGGATGAATAAATGAATTATTTACCTGAATATAGGATTGAATGAATCCTGAGCTAGGAAGGAGAATAATGAGAATGTGAGAAGACAGAGAATACTGGGAACAGTTCATCATTAATCATCATTAATAATGTTTCAAGAAAATCCGAACACTTTGTTTTGGTTTGGGAGTTAGAATTTTTGCCACTAATATTGCAAATGATATGGCCCTTCAAAGCATGAAGGTCATTGCAAACATTCATTTGATGAAAATGTAAGTAAGTAAGTAATATTTATTGCACAATAACATGTTAACATAATAAAGTGGCAGGAGATATACAATTCGCAGGATTGCGGTTTACAACGTAGATCTCATAATACAGTCTTTAAAACAAATTTTACATTAACAAGAAAATAATCCATTGGTAATAATCGTAAGAATCTTTTCATTATAAATTTGTAAACCCTGTAATAATTATTCATCATTATTCATTTCGTTATTTTTTTTAGGAAATAAAGAGTTTTCTGCATTATCGATTTTGATTCGTGGGTTATACCTTGTCTATCTGTTCATCGTCAGAATCTTGTTCCTTTGCGACAACAAGCATCACTAGGACACCAATTCCGAATTTTAAACTATTTTGTTAAATCAAAAGTGTAAAAGGAGTTCTTATTATATGAAAACCCTTGGCTGTTTTCAAGACAATGTCAGGTTTTCATTTTCGAATATATTCTGAATTTCATTCATTGTCGCGTTTTTGAGACAAAACCCACTTTCCCGTTTTTGAAAATAATCCGCAATTCAAAACAAAACTTATTTTCATAACTTACAGAATAAATCAATGAAAGTATAAATTAACTTATTAATAAATTAACTAATTAACTGATGAATTATATTTAGAATCTAAGATACTCATGTTATTAGTTAAAAAAAGAGAATAAAGTTGATTTAATTTTCCTGTATTTTAAGCAATCAATTTCCCACATTTCTAACTAAATCTACATTTTAAGGAGCAAATCAAATTAATATTTTCATTTCTCAATGCCGTAATGTTTTTAAAATTACAAAAGATCAATGTGTTTTATTTTCTATTTTCTATTTTGTTTATATTTTACCTTTTCAAAAATCTTGTCTTGTGACGTAAGTGCGTAAACACTTGAAAAAATACATTGATATGAATTCGAGTAATTGTTTCAATATCAGGATATGTTTCAAAAACGCGACATGAGCTGAAATAGAGTAATTGTTTCAAAATATGGATATGTCCGAAAATGAAAACAAGAATCATCAAAAACTACTTCTCTCACCTTTTAAAAGTTGACATTTTTAATTTCAATAAATAGTTTTAGCCATTTTTAATAAGTGTATGGTGCAGTTTTGTTTAACTCAGATTGGATTTAAAGATATATACGCTTGAAAAAGATAACTTTGCAGATTTGGCCCATTTCTAACACTCAGTGTTAGAAATGGACCAAGCGTTAGCTTTGGAACAAATTTCCCCTGCAATAACTAAATCAAATTACTTATTTTGGATGATAAGAATTAATTTCTATTTCTGAACCTATTCCTGGACAACTAATTAGTTTACTGTAGTTTAATTGTCACATTTTTCGTTGACGTTATTGAATAATTTGAATAAAACTAATTATCATTAGTATAATCCCTACAAAATAGACAATCTATGAGGATTTTAAAACTGCTTTTGCGCTCTTGCTGAAAAATTATGCACCGTAAAAACGTCTGATAGGCCTAAAAGGAATCCTAAAAGATTTCTCAATAATACTGCATTCTTAGTTCAACTACCATACATTGCTGGTCAATTCCTTCTTGATATAAGTATACGGCATTGAAACTTTTTTCCGAAAAGTACATCTTTTTTAATTCATAAACTATTTTCATAAATTCATAAACCCAAGGATTTTCTAAAAAAATCAGTCAATTTGGTTCAGAAATTTGACCATTCTGACGATGATGATGATTGAAGATGATTATGATGATGATATCAATGATGATTATGATGAGGATATTAATGATGATTATGATTATGATGATTGTGAAAATGTAAATGCTGATGGCGATGATGATGATGTTAATGATGATGTTCCTGAGTGTAAGGGAGAGGAGGTACATGTTCCTCCTCCTGAACTGTAGAAGAAGGCGGGCTAGTGTCAGAGAAGCTGCTAAACGAAATAAACCTGGAAATCAAAATAAGGATGAGTAATATAAGAATTAGTTTGAAATCAAATAGGACAGATTATAACAGAGTTTGTTGGAAAATAAAGAGAGGATAAATAAAAACAGAGTTGGTTGGCGATCAACAAAGAATACATTTTTAGCAGAGTTGGTTGGAAATCAAGAGATGGATAAAAAGTATCAGAGTTGGTCGGAAATCAAGAGAAGATAAAAATAACAGAGTTGGCTGTAAATCAAACAGAAAATTTAAAATAATAGAGCTTTGTGGAAAAAGAAAAGGTGTTCCTGCTTGAAGTATTGTATTCAAAACCACAAACCCTTCTTAGTTTTAATCAGACTAAGTGTAACGTTCATGATTTCATATTTCCGTTATGTGATGTATGTTTATTGTTACCTATAGTTATAGCTGACATGTATGCTAATCCTGATGTTTTGTTAGGACCACCTTCTACATTTATATCCTCGCAGTTTATTGTCATATTTCCGATATTCTCGGTATTATTCGCTCTGCACATAGAACACAGTTTAAATAGAGGTCAAACAATATCTTTGGAGGTCAAACAACATCTTTGGAGGTCAAACAATATCTTTGGAGCTCAAACAATATCGTTGGAGGGAAAACAATATCTTTGGTGGTCAAACAACATCTTTGGAGGTCAAACAATATCTTTGGAGGTCAAACAATATCTTTGGAGGTCAAACAATATCTTTGGAGGTCACACACTATCTTTGAAGGTCAAACAATATCTTTGGAGGTCAAACAATATCTTTGGAGGTCAAACAATATCTTTGGAGGCCAAACAACCAAATTCATTGTAAAAAACGCCTTTGTATAATAAAGTTAAATGCCAAACTTGACGGTCAAACACCCGAATATAAAGGTCAAATAATACACTTAGAGGTCAACAATGCATGTGGAGGTCAAGGAGAATATTTAAGGTCAAACAAAGCATTAAGAGATTAAAAATAAATATATTGGAGGTCAAACAACAACTTTGATGTCAAATGACAAGTGGTGAAACAACATATTTGGAGGTCAAACAAAACAATTGGAGGTCTGACAACATCTTCTTGGTCAAACAACTATATTTTTGATATCAAACAACACATTTAGAGGCAAATCGCCACAATTAAAGGCCAAACAACAGATCTTTAAGTTTGACCGCCCATTTTGAGGCGAACATTTTAAATAAAGATTAAACTAAATAAGTAACTCATTCAAGTGTCAACACATTTGTCTTTTTTAAAACTGTTCTTGTGCCTGAAAACTTCGTGGAATATTTTAACAACATATGCCCTTATAACAGTTACACCACTGCAGTTTAACCATTTTCAATATTTTTATCACATCTTTCGTATTTTTTATGGTTTCCAACGGAATCGATAAATAGTTTCCAGTGGACTCGATAAATAGTTTCGCTAAAATTTTCTATAATTTATCGATTCTGCATTTTGGCAACTTCTTTCGTAAACATTCAGGAAAATTGAATATCGCGGAAAAACAGATATTGTATAAAATGTTTAATGCAATTTGCGCGAAAAATGTTTGCTTAAACTGTGAAAAAAATCACTAATTATGCTATTGATAATGACAGAATTAATAATAATAATAATAATAATAATAATAATAATAATAATAATAATAATAAGAATATTTAAAATTTTGAAAATGTCTGTTCCTAAATTGTTGAACAACACTGAGTATTATTAGGATGAGAAAGGGTCTGTACACATCTGGATGCTTTCTGAGTATTAAAAAACTTTAAAATGTTAATAAAAAATGTGCGGAATTTAATTTTACAATTGGAACGTGCGGGAAATGTGACGTTTGAAAATGGTCTAGGCAATCCAAAGAAAAATATTTACAAGAACTCTTAAAGCGCGGCGGGGAAAAATTGAAAATTTTTTCAAACCAATACATTATGCAATTATTATAAAAGATTTACACCATTAGGTTAAAAAAAGATCATAAAATTAGAGTTTGTGGCAAGTTCATGTTTTCTTCACGGGAGAGCACCTGTAGAGTAGTCAAACATTCCCAAGTAACAGCCAATTGAGGAAATTATGATGTAATAGTTGTAATGCGAATTATATATAATGTTTGTTATGAGAATTATAGATAATGTTTGTAATGGGAATTACGGATAATGTTTGTAAGGCAATCATGATGTAATGTTTGTAATGGAAATTACGTGTATGTTTGCAATGGAAATCATGATGTCATGTTTGTAATGGGAAACATGAAGCAATGTTTGTTATGGGAATAATGATGAAATGTTTGTAATGGAACTTAAGTGTAATGTTTATATTGGAAATTATATGTAAAGTTTGTAATGGAAATCATGATTTAATGTTTGTAATGGGAATTATGTGTAATGTTTGTAATAAGACTCATGATATAATGTTTGTAATTGGAATCATGATGTAGTGTTTGTAATGGGAATCACGATGTAATGTTTGTTATAAGAATAATAATGTAATGTTTATAATGGGAATCACGATGTAATGTTTGTTATAAGAATAATAATGTAATGTTTGTAATGGGAATTATATGTAATGTTTGTAATGGAATTCATGATGTAATGTTTGTAATGGGAATAATAATGTAATGTTTGTGTTGGGAATCACGATGTAATGTTTGTAATAAGAATCATGATGAATGTTTGTGATGGGAATCATGTTCAAATGTTGTAAGGTTATAAAATTTTAAAAAAAATGTTTCATTAAAGGTTTTAAAATTTTCCTGATATTTTGTAAATATTCACATTTGCTTCTCCTCTTCCTCTGGATTTTATTTAAACTCTCACTTAACAAAAATTTTATTTTAAAAACCTGAAATAATTTTTTTTGTCTGAAAATTGTTATAATTGAAATTTTCTCAAAAGAACTAAGAATTTTGTAAAAACGTTGATTTATTTATTGTTTTCATAAATGTTTTGTAACGTTTGACGATTGAATTTATTTTACATAAAAAACTGAACACTCCCTTTATCTTTACTATTTAACATTGTATTTTAAACTATTTTATCTCGAAAAATTTAAAGTTTTAATATAAAAGGTCAACAACACCAGGTTGCAAAGATATAAGGATTATAAAATAATTCTTTAAGGTAAGTAACTATTTCCTTTTATACCTGAGCAGTAATACTTCTTGGCGACTTTTAAATTCAGATCCATACAGGCGTTTTAAGCTTAACTCAGCCTATACATTCAATACTTTTAAATTCAGATCTATACAGGCGTTTCAAGCTTAACTCAGCCTATACATTCAATACTTTTAAATTCAGATTCATACAGGCGTTTCAAGCTTAATTCAGCCTATACATTCAATACTTTTAAATTCAGATTCATACAGGCGTTTCAAGCTTAACTCAGCCTATATACATTCAATACTTTTAAATTCAGATCCATACAGGCGTTTCAAGCTTAACTCAGCCTATATACATTCAATACTTTTAAATTCAGATCCATACAGGCGTTTCAAGCTTAACTCAGCCTATACATTCAATACTTTTAGATTTATATCAATATAGGTTTAACAGGCTTGACTCTGTCTTAATATTCAATACTTTTAAATCAAGGTAAATGCAGGTTTTAGATGTTTAACTGTGCCTTAATATTCAATACTTTTACATCAAAGTAAATACAGGTTTTACAGGCTTAACTCTGCCTTAATATTCAATACTTTTAAATTTAGGTAAATACAGGTTTTACAGGCTTAACTCTGTCTAATATTCAATACTTTTAAATCAAAGTAAATACAGGTTTTATACAGGCTTAACTGTGCCTTAATATTCAATACTTTTAAATACAGGTGTTTCAGCAGTGCATAATAACCAAAGAGAATAGAATATATTTTAGAGTGGAATTTAGACAATCCCTCGGTATGAATTTTGTCAGTCTCTTTCAGCCTGAAAGGGAGTTCAAAGTAAATCATGTAAATGTTTACAAATTATAATACAGTATGTTCCCTAGACTATCCATTTCAATTTCGATTTTTTAAAGCTGTTAAATAAACTATATAAAATGAATTAGGTGAATAAAAAACATCATTTGATTTATAATTATAACGGAAAATCATCGTTTGTAAAGTGAAAGGCATAGAGTCTATGTGAAATGATCATTGGTCAATTATGAAACCAACCTATTTCATAATTTGTTTTTTTATATTAATTTTAGATTTTCTATAAAATGATGTTCCAGGGCCCAAGAGGTTGTATAGCACAAATATGTGAAGTACACCTGCAGTATGGAAACAGTACAACAAAATGGCCGTTTTACACTTTTAAGCAAACTTGATGAATTGATGTAGCGCTGAAACAAATACTATAGAATTAAGTGAAATATGTACATTGAAAAATGTATGTTCATCATATGAAGTTATTTAAAAAATTTAAACTTAAAGACCTTTGCTGCAAAGATTGCAATGGTCAGTTCACATTGGTACTCTTAAAAGCTTTGTCTGATCAAGTATGAATTAGATATCCATGTTTACAATTTGGATTACTTATTATTTAAAGTAACTCGCCAATTTCTACTGCAGGAAAACATATAGGAATTGTCAGAATTAAAAAACTTTTAAACCATAAAAAACAATATATCACGCATTATTGATCATATAAATGTTTCAAGAGTACGGTAGTGAATCAGACTTTGCTATCTATGCATATAGCAAGGTTATAATGCAAGGAAAGTTATTTCAGAGGTGTACTCATCTTTTGTACTGCAGTGTACTGTCTCTGGGCGGTAATGTAAACACAAGACGAATGTCGAAGCCTGAAATGGGATCCATCTATATCTATCGGATACTTAACGAACACTGATGCACATAGTTTTGTTTACAACTTCCGCCCAGAGAGAACTGGGTTCAATATGTACGCAGAGTATACACAACTGCAATCAACTTTCCTTGCATTATAATCTTGTGAATATAGGGTCCCTTGTAATTACGCTTACAGTCAATTTAAATCTAACAGTAGTCATCCTTTTTTTACAGTTTTATGGGAATTAATGAAATAGCTTTTCTCTTGTTACTGAGTCGTGTTTTCTCCAACTTTTTAGTTCCCAGTCAGAGTATTTATTTGTTTTCTTCAATAATTATCTTTCAATGATTCCTATTTAATCTTAAAGAATTTATTGTTAGGAGGGCTTTGGGTATGTAAGAAAAGTCAGAAAATTTCAACAGCCTCAGACCAATACTTTTTGAGTTACGTAAAAAAAACTACAGGGGGGGTCAAATTGACCCCCCCCCAGCAGGAATAGGATTAACTCTTTAATGGTTGAGATATTGATCCTATACTGGTTGAGATATTAACCCTATACTGGTTGAGATATTTACTCTATACTGGTTGAGATATTAACCCTATACTGGTTGAGATATAAATCCTATACTGGTTGAGATATTAACCCTATACTGGTTTAGATATTAACCCTATACTGGTCGAGATATTAACCCTATACTGGTTGAGATATTAACCCTATACTGGTTGAGATATTAATCCTACTCTGGTTTAGATATTTACTCTATACTGGTTGAGATATTAACCCTATACTGGTTGAGATATTAACCCTATACTGATTGAGATATTAACCCTTTACTGGTTGAGATATTAACCCTATACTGGTTTAGATATTAATCCTATACTAGTTTAGATATTTACTCTATACTGGTTGAGATATTAACCCTATACTGGTAGAGATATTAACCCTATCTGGTCGAGATATTTTTGTTTATTTTCATAGTTTGGAAGGAAAGACCATTCTTATAATATTTATGATATAATTTAAAGAATCAAAAAAATGTTTGTTCAATTTTTCTTTTGTTTACCTTTTTATGTTGCTGCTTTGATACAAGATAGATTGGAGATTCAGGAGATAGAATACAACTTATTAGAGCTAGAACTGGTATCACTAAAAAACATAGCAATCAATTAATCAATTAATCAATTTATCAATTTATGAGATAAAATACAGCTGATAACAGCTAGAACTGGTATCACTAGAATACAAAGCAATCAATTAATCAATTCAGAAGATAGAATACAGCTAAGTAGAGCTAGAACTGGTATCACTAGAACATATAACAATCAATTAATCAATTAATCAATTAATGAGATCATCAAATACTGCTGATTAGAGCTAGAACTGGTATCACTAGAACACACAGCAATCAATTAGTCAATTAATCAATTCAGTAGATAGCAACCAGCTGATTAGAGCTAGGACTGGAATCACTAGAACATTTAGTAATCACTAGAACACATGGCACTTAATTAATCAATTCAGAAGATACAATACAACTATTTAAAGCTAGAACTGTTATCACTGAATACAATGCAATGGATCAATTAAATGAATCAATTAAAAAAATGATCATTTCAAAAAAATTATTAATCAATAGTAATACAATGATACAACTTAATTATAACTATTAAGTATTAATGTTTTAATTAACGTTAAATCAGAAAAATCAATTCAATGTAGCAACGCAAACTTTTAAATATCAAGTATACAGCTAAGTTAATTAAACAATTTGGATATTTTCATTATCAAATCAATCAATCAATAAAACAATTAATCAAATTTACCTAGACCAATGTAAGCAATCGTCTTCCATCTGTAGAATAGACCCAGAGCATACACTAGTACACATCCAGTACATCTATAAAATAAACTAGTACACATCCAGTACATCTATATATAAACCAGTACACATCCAGTAAATCTATAAGACAAACCAGTATTCAGCCAGTACATCTATATAATACACAGTACACATCCAGTACATCTCTGTAATAAACTAGTACACAGTCAATACATCTATATAATACACAGTACACATCCAGTACATCTCTGTAATAAACTAGTACACAGCCAATACATCTATATAATAAACCAGTACTCAGCCAGTAGATCTATACAATAAACTAGTACACAACCATTACATCAACATAATAAACTAGTACACAGCCATAACATCAATATAATAAACTAGTACACAGCCAGTACATCTATATAATAAACTAGTACACAGCCAGTACATCTATATGATAAACTAATACACAGCCAGTGCATCTATATAATAAAATAATACACAGCAAGTACATCTATATAATAAACTAGTACACAGACAGTACATCTATATGATAAACTAGTACACAGCCAGTACATCTATATAATAAAATAATACACAGCCACTAGATCTATATAAAACACAGTACACAGCTAGTACATCTATATAATAAACTAGTACACAGCCAGTACATCTTTATAATAAAGCCCTTCGCTCATATATATATATGTCAGCTTATAGCCAATAGGCTGGACCGAATGGGCCGACATTTTTTAAGAAAAACCCATGGGTACCCGGGGGGTATTAAAAAATCGTAATTTGAGTTTTTTCAAAATCTTTTTTGTTTAAATTAGTTTTTTTTAATTCCACAAGCAACGCCGGGCACTTTAGCCAGTACAAATAATAAACTGGTACATTGGCAGTACATCATTAACTAGTACCAACCATAACATCAATTTAATAAACTAGTACACAACCATGTACATCTAGATAATAAACTAGCACACAACTATTACATCAATATAATAAACTAGTAAACAGCCAGTATACATCTATATACTAAACTAGCACACAACCATCACATCAATATAATAAACTAGTACACAGCCAGTACATCTATATAATAAACTAGTACACAACCATTACATTAATATAATGAACTAGTACACAGCCAGTACATCTAGATAATAAACTAGTACACAACCATTACATCAATGTAATAAAATAGAACACAGCCAGTACATCTATCTAATAAACTAGTACGCAGCCAGTACATCTGTGTAATAAACTAGAAAACATATATTCAATAAACTAGTACACAACCAGTACATCTATATAGTAAAATAGTACACAGCCAGTACATCTATATAATAAACTAATACAGAGCCACTAGATCATTATAATAAACTAGTATGCAGCCAGTACATCTATGTAATAAAATAGTACACAACCAGTACACATATAAATAATAAACAAGTAAAGCCAGTACATCTTCATAATGGAACTATAGGAAACATCCAGTACATCTATATTATAATAAACCAGTACATAGCCAGTACATATATTTATAATAATCCAGTACAAAGCCAGTACATATATATATTAATGTAGAAAAAAACTCAAATTTTGACTTATTTTGTCAAATATACAATAACCCCGAACACAAACAGCAACTCTACATGAGATATAAAATATTTGTCATGAACACTCCCTTTAAGAACTGAAGATGTTGATTGTATGGATTAAAGAATTAGATTTAATCCTAGTAATATTTTTTACCCTTGCATAAAATTATCATGGCTCTGGTGTTTAAAGGCTTCAAGTTTATGTGAATCCATTAAACTTGAACTATACTAATAAACTTAAACCATAAAACCCAGGATATATTCTGTAAAAATTAGAATTAGGATATAGTTTTTTGTTGTAAAGTTCATTAGGGCTTTAAACAGACTCATAACATGTTAGAATAATAAACATGGATCAAAGAATGAGAAATAGATTTAGTTTACACACAGGGTTTCACATAAAGAATCAGATATAGATTTAGTTTACACCAGGGTTTCACATAAAGAATCTGATATAGATTTGGTTTACACACAGGGTTTCACATAAAGAATCTGATATAGATTTAGTTTACACACAGGGTTTCACATAAAGAATCAGATATAGATTTAGTTTAAACACAGGGTTTCAAATAAAGAATCAGATATAGATTTAGTTTAAACACAGGGTTTCACATAAAGAATCAGATATAGATTTGGTTTACACACAGGGTTTCACATAAAGAATCAGATATATAGATTTAGTGTACACACAGGGTTTCACATAAAGAATCAGATATAGATTTAGTTTACACACAGGGTTTCACATAAAGAATCAGATATAGATTTGGTTTACACACAGGATTTCACATAAAGAATCAGAAATAGATTTAGTTTAGGTATTCTTAAATGGTTTAAACTTGATTGTAAAGGGATAAATTAAATGTTTATAAACAACTAAGGCCATCTTCTATTTTAACTTTCAATTGTGACTCTATTTGTGAGAATCTTCTTTTTGTACAATATAAAACAAAAACAAAACAAACAAACAAATTTTAGATTTATTGATATTTCGTCGTGGATTTTCAAAATTTTACTGAATTAAATATTTTGGAGAAAACTTTTTGAAATTCTGAGGTCCCACACAAAATTGTGGCTCCGGTTCAGCTGGTTTGATGTGTATTAGATACAAACAGAAAGACAGACTAGGAAAGTGTATATATATGGATTCTTACCTAAGTACACTTTCAAGAACTGAGTATGTGCCTCTCATCTCAACACTGGAAACCTCTATACATTATTTTAATGACAAATATTTCGAATTTGTTTCCAAATATTTCTTTTAAGTAATTGTCAACTTGTAATAACTATATCCCTGTAAAGTTTGAAAAACACCCTATACTGAAATAAAAAATGAAACATCATCTTTGTTTAATCCCCAGTATTGATGTTTCTGTCTACTTGTGCAGTTAGTTGAGCCTATTTCAATGTTTTTTTTTATGAAAATCCGCCAGTTTTGTGGCTTAAAAATGTTTGAGAATTCGTAATTTCAAACTGCCATAAGCAAAATACAAACATTATGTTAAAAGTATAGATGAAATAGAATTGTTATTGATATTTTTTCATTCAAAGTAGATTGTTTCTTTTTATCTATTATTTATAAATATTTCACCAAAATTTCATCGTAATTTTGCGCTAGGCTAAATGCAATAAATGCGTAATAGTACAACAAAAATATTCTTATTCCTAAAGAATTACCTATTGTATAAACTGTTGTACAAATAAGTGCATGACTCACTCCCACCAGAACTCTATTGGAAACAAATCAATCAATATTTTTTTTTTGCAGATTTCAACTTTAAAAAAATCATTTTTTGATTTTTTGTTTTAGTGTTTCCAAGTTTATTTCAATAGAGGGGGGGGGGGCAGTTTTTCCTTATTAAAAACATTTAGATATTTATTTTTTTGCAAACCAAGACAAGATTACAAATCGAGTCAGATTAATCATTTCAAATTTAAACTGAATTAATTGAAGAATAATAAATTCATGAAAAATAATCAAAATCACACAGTTCAAACTTTTTAAAAGAAGTTATTAATCTTTTTACGTTTAAAATGCAAAAATATGACAACATTACAACATTTTATACTTTAGGAGATAACTCACAGCAATGCTGCGTAATAAAGACGATTTTGACAATCAAAGACTCCAGTGTATGCAATGTATGAAATGTATGAAATGCATACCAATGCAAATAAAAAGATTAAATATACGAAACGACACTATATGTATAACATATGTAAACTGTTATATATGTAATCTAATACCCATCATCCTTCCCACCCCGGCCCCCCTTTGTCATCCCATTCTTTAATTCTAAATTCTAAAATGTTGCTGTCATTTGTCAACCCTTTTCAACTTCATTTACCCTTCCCCTCATCTTAGTTCAAATACATTGGCTCACTAAATAATCCTTGTAATGTGCTCGAATATAATGTTAACGACATTTTTATTAAAAAATGTCATGTCTATAGTTCACATCAAAACTGAATTTTTTTTGTTTTCTTTTGATTTATTTTTAATTGATTTAAAAATTAAAAGGAAACATGGATTTGATTTTACTACAGGGTTTCCCACGAAACGTGACGTACTTGAAATACGACTTGAATATCGTTTTTGATCAGAGATCTTTGTCCACATCTAAACGAACTTTTTCATTTCTCTAGTAATTTTGGAATTGCAAAGACTCGGGCAATTTTGTGATGATTAATTCAAGAACCCTAATTCTAAAATATAGTTTTATAAATGAAAGCGGAAACATATTTTACAGATTAAAGACAGCCTTCAAGTCGTGTTCTTACTGTCATTTTTAACAGGACACCGGGAAGTAGAATTGATTCTTCAAGATTAAAAATAAATGTCTGATATATTGTATAAAGTTTTTTTTCAAACGTTCGATCTGTTGCATACAGGGTTACCCACACAGAATGAGAATTAATTGAGGACCTAAAATCACTAAGAACAGTTTTTATAGAGATTTATCAGTTAACCCTATTCCAAAAAGTATTGGTCTGAGACTGTTAAAATTTTCTGACTTTTCCTAAATACCAAAAGCCCTCCCTATAAAAACATGGCTTTAATACTAACTGCCTGAGTCCTCAGGCACACTGCCTGAATGACCGCTTTTTCCTGTGACAAACTAAATCTTTGTTTTGACCCATTTTCACTTGTCAGATTTTGATAAAATTTAGCTTTTTGGAAAGCCTTTGACATAAGGAAACGAACTGCACAAGTTTTGCGATAAAAAATTGCAAATTTTTTATCGCAAAACTTGTCAAAGGAAATTTGCACATTTTTAGTTTTTCTTAATCAGGTTATTTAAAATTTTGCAAAAATTTTTGCATATTTAAAATGGCATGGTCAAGGACTTTTCCAAAATGTATAATTTTTCATTTTTGGACAAATTTTTTTTTGCAAAACTTTTTACTATATAACTGGATTTTGCGATAAAAAACTCAATTTTGGCAAATTTGCAAATTGTTTAGCTGATTCTAAAAGTAGAGCACAAGAGCTTTCCAATGATGTATCATTTGTCATATTTGGACATCAAACAGGGGATTTAGAGGGGGGGGGTTTGTCAAATTGACCCTCCCCCAGCATATCCTGGTTTTCAAGTACCCCAGCAAATTACTAAATCCTTGGCAAAATTTCTTAATGTAAGAAGAAAATGAACGACTTTGATTTCATGTCTTACTCTCATTGCACTGAGCAAAAAGTAATAAGCTTATTGATATATATTGGGAATGCCAAAAAAATTATAAATTAATTTCAATTCAGACGTCTCTGAAGTCTCATCCTTTATGAGTAACCCTGTAGTAAACGATGAAAAACTGAGATTCTATTGATCAATTGAGTGTCAAATTAAATGATTAATTGATTGGTTCCTGGAAGCGTAAAGAATATAATGGTTAGCGGCAAGCGCGGCAAGCAACCACGAGATAAAGTAAGGAAAGCAGCAGAGAACCAAACAACTCCTGTAAAAATAATAATTACATTAATAATACAAAATAATTTTAAACGCCTTGTCCCATTTTCTCTTATAGGTCTAAAATTGATTTTTTTCCAAACGAATTAAGTACCCTATGAAAAAAAGTTGCAAATGTAAAGAAAGTTAAAATTGGGAAGTTAATGTTGGGAAGTTAATGTTGGGAAGTTTATTTTGGGAAATTAATGTTAGACTTTTTATTTTGGGAAGTTGATGTAAGGAATTTAATGTTAAAAAGTTTATTTTGGGAAGTTAATGTTAGGAAGTTAATGTTAGGAAGTTAATATTAGGAAGTTAATGTTAGGAAGTTAATGTTGGGAAGCTAGTATTGGGAATTTAACTTTGGAAATTTAATGATCTTGGAAAGTTAATGTCAGGAAGTTAAAGTTAGGAAGTTAATGTTGGGAAGTTAATGTTAGGATGTTAAAGTTAGGAAGTTAATGTTAGAAAGTTAACGTTGGGAAGTTAATGTTTTAGGAAGTTAAAGATAGGAAATTAATGTTGGGAAATGGTTTAGGTAAAGTAATGACACATATGTTACACCTATATTACACCAATTTGACACCTGTATAAAACATATGTAACAACTTTGTGACACCTTTGCTACGCTAATTTTAATTTTATACCAGTTACCTATTATGAGACAACTATGTGACACTAGATAACTATGTCACACCTATGTGACAAAAATGTGAACCTTTGAGCCAAAAATATGCCACCTGCGACAACTGACACAAATGTGACAGCTGTACGACACTAATGTGTCAGCTGTACGACACTAATGTGTCAGCTGTACGACACTAATGTAATACCTTTATGACAACTATATGTATGACCTACCTTGGTCCCCAGCGTTGTTGTATAGGTCCTGACAGAACACAAATTATGGGTGTCAGGATATTGTCCAAACTTACTAAAATATTATTAGATTTATTGAAGGGACTGTAAAGGTAAATGAAAGGGGGTATAGGCTGAAAGCTAGTCACTTTAGCTCTCGATCGCGACCCATGAAAGTTATATCTGATGTTCCTATCTCGAGAAATTTTAAAAACATTAAAACATATGTGTTTTAAACTTTTAATTTAAAATTGTCTGAAATGAAAATTAAAAATGTGAACATAATAATTTTGAGCACAAAATTGTATTTCATGTTGATTTTCTATTAAGTTTGATCTAATTCTTATCTTTCCAATATTTCCAAATTAAATTAAACACAAGCCTCAAACTCAATTTTCTATTCCCAGAGTTTGCGATTAAAAATGGCTCGGGTCTAATCTGTCGTTGGGTCTTATTTACGGCTTGAGCTTTCGGATTCAAGCTGCATCTTATTTTCCACAGAGTTGAGTTCAAAAAAGGTTTAATATTTTATTTGGTGGATTTTCATGGTAGGAATTGGCGCATTCCGGGTTTTTATGAGAACAAGACTCAACATTGGTGTCTTATTCTCCACTAAAACCAACTAAGGTCGGTTTTATTTTCATTGGGCCTAACTCCTTAAGTCGAGCCGAAGATCTTGCAGCTGTCAATCACGTGACACAAGCTGTCGTTCGAGTTGGCTCGAAGATTGGGTCTTAGAGTTGGGTTTAAGAAATTACGACTCGAGCTAGAAATTTTGAGTTTTCAGAGGATTGTTTTGGGTGTTTTATATTAAACATAAATCCAATATCAAGCAATTTAAAAAAAATTGACTATTTTGGAAATATTTATATAAATTTTTACCTATCCATGATTCCTGATCAACTGTTATATTAAACTCGGAACAGTCCTCACTAAAAATAAAAAAAATTAAAATAGAAAAATTATAAAATTTTTGGAACACTTAAAATCATGAAATAAAAAATTTAAAATCTTCTAAATAGAAAGTTATTTTGAAAACCAAAATTTGGCAAATAAAGAAAGTTAAGTAAAAAAAAAATTATTAAAAAAAACGTTGACTGCATTATTTCATGGCAACTAAAACATACACATTTACTATGAAAGCAGTTTAAAGTTCAATCTGTTTACTCAACTTACAGATTAATAAATTCTAAAAAAAAGCGTGTTAGTTCAAACAAGTATTTTGACAGTATTTCCGACATTTTGATTGGCATCATTTTTAACAATAAAGGGATCCTGTCAACGTAATTTCAAGTGCCCCAGTATTGAAAAGTTGCATGCCCGGTTTACAACGGTACCCTTTCAACATAATAACGATGATGATTTCAAAATTTTTCTATTTAAAAACTTAATTAGTCTGTCAAAATCCGATATTGTATCTGCAACATAAATTCCTAAGTCTTGCTAAACGATCACAATTTGAAATTTTTTGCTAATTCTCTTTTAATGAGGAGCGTATTAAAAAAGATATTTAAAATTTTAAGATTCTAAAATTTTTAGACCAACACACGATTGATTTCGAATTGAAGTTCATGCATTTTGACCCTCTTTGAATTTAGTTTACAGTCCCTTTAATAATTAGAACTTTGACAGCCTGGAATATAGTTTACAGTCCTTTTAAAAATTAGAACTTTGACAGCCTGGAATTTAGTCTACAATCCCTTTAATGATTAGAACTTTGACAGCCTGTAATATAGTATACAATCCCTTTAATGATTAGAACTTTGACAGCCTGGAATTTAGTATACAATCCCTTTAACAATTAGAACTTTGACAGCCTGGAATTTAGTATACAGTCCCTTTAAAAATTAGAACTTTGACAGCCTGGAATATAGTTTACAGTCCCTTTATTAATTAGAACTTTGACAGCCTGGAATATAGTTTCCAGTCCCTTTATTAATTAGAACTTTGACAGCCTGGAATAAAGTTTACAGTCCCTATAATAACTAGAACTTTGACAGCCTGGAATATAGTTTGCAGTCCCCTTAATAATTAGAACTTTGACAGCCTGGAATATAGTTTACAGTCCCTTTAATAATTAGAACTTTGAAAGCCTGGAATTTAGTTTACAGTTCCTTTAATAATTAGAACTTTGATAGCCTGGAATTTAGTCTAACCGTTTAAAATCAATTTCACCGGTTTTTGTTTATCTAAAAAGTTCATGATATCAGAATGAACGATTTCTAGTCTTTTACGATGACATATTTATCAAATGTCATGAGTTAAAACGATAAAAGGGGAGAAAAAAGGGGGGGGAAGGGGTCACAAAAACGTGTTTTAATGAAAATGGAGAGATGGAGGGGGTGTGGGGGATAATATGAAAATAATATTTTTTTCTTTAGTAATCCCCGTGTTCGATAAAGCTTCATATTTAATCTCTATCAATGATTTGAGTTTTTTATTCCTAATTAGTTATCATTGATTCATTTAGTTAATAATCTTTATAGTTGATTATTTTTATATTTTTAAATAAATACCGGAATTATAACGGTATATTTTAAACCTATTAATGTTTACCGACGGCAGTTAAACTACGTGTGTTTATCTCTAAAATGTTACGTAAATTTCCGGAAAACTGCAGTGTTTGCAGCTGAATTTACATACATATATTTCTCAAAAATTACGAATATTCTTTGCACAAAGCAATGAAAATTATTTAATCAAAACATCTATTTTATGCGACAAAATGATCAATAATTACAAGCGTTAGTATTTGTGATGTTTAGTGTTTGGGATGTTTAGTATTTATGATTTTTAGTATTTGTGATGTTTAGTATTTGTGATGTTTATTATTTATGATGTTTAGTATTTGTGATGTTTAGTATTTGTGATGTTTAGTATTTGTGATGTTTAGTATTTGTGATGTTTAGTATTTGTGATTTTTAGTATTTGTGATGTTTAGTATTTGTGATGTTTATTATTTATGATGTTTAGTATTTGTGATGTTTAGTATTTGTGATGTTTAGTATTTGTGATGTTTAGTATTTGTGATGTTTAGTATTTGTGATTTTAACGACCTTAATTTTATTAACATACATTCCGCTGTTAACACTTGTATTTCGCAATTAATACTTTTTCCGTTCGTTAACAGACTCTTCCGTTAATTTGCGGAACTCTCCGCTCGTTAACGAAGCGTTGCCCTAATGTCTAGTGGGACCTGCTGTACATATTTACCGTAGTTGAGGAGTAAGTATAGCTGGGAAACCACTGTTCATTCCATAACAGATCTGTAGCAGATAAACAGGAAGGAGGGCTAGAACCTAAACAGAAAATGTTAATAATAATGACAAATAACAATTAATTAAACAAATATCTATATAATAAAGCTCTTCGCTCTTATCATATATGTTTATGTTACACAGTTGGCTAAACAGCTGGACCATATTTGCTAAAAGAAATCGGGTCTTTTTTCTAAATTCGATTTTTTTTAACGTTCGAGAGTTTTTTATAACCTGATGTTGATATTTTACAGTTGAAAATTCGAATTCTTTCATCAAGTTGTAAAGATTAAAAAAAGGTGGAAACAGTTTTAAAAATATTGTCGTCTTCGATCTGGAATATTTTGTGTTAGAGTTTCCAGCGAAATGGGGAGATCGTTCTAGAATAAAATTATCATTCTTAAAGGGAATGTAAACAAATTTCAAAAAGAGATGCGAGTTGTGAGTTCATGTACTCAGTTAACCCCCTGCTGGGGGTCGCTGGGGTAACCCTGAAACCTTGAACAGGCTTGGGAGGGGCGTTTGGCTCCCCCTGTCGTTTTTTTGTGTTAGCATTGTAAATTTCAATGAATAGTATTTTAAATGATTTTTGTTAATTTTTTGTTTTGTTTTATAAGGTAGGGTTCAGGGCGGAAAAAAGTCCTATCAGTGAAAAAAAAATCTAAAATAGCCCATAACTTTTTTGTGACTAAACTTACAGACTGTGTTTCTGAAAAGCTCTTAAAAATGCATGTAGAAACTTGTGTCACACTTTGATATTTGTTCAAAACAAAAAAAAAATTTTCTTTTTTTTACCCTTTTTTAGGCTTTGAAGAATTGGGCCATGAACATGCACTTCAACCCTAAAGCTATTCTATAAGGCCTTTTTCCAGGGGTGGGGGGCGCCAAACGCCCCCAGGCTTTACATAGATTCAGACCCCCCAGCCTTTAAAGGGTTAAAACCAGGATAAGCCTGGGGGGGATGGGTCAAATTGACCTTTCCCCTCTAAATCCGTAGTTTTAAAATTAAATGTGAATATATATTATACAATTTGGAAAGCTCTTGAATAAGCCAATTAAGATATGCCAAAACACAAATGGGTTTTCTAAAAAATGCACTCATTTAAAATTCGTAGAGTGAACATCTGTAATTTGTGAAGCCTCCCTTTAATGTCAATTTTAAATATTGATGTTGAGTGAACATTAGATATATACCTAATCAATCCTAATGAACTAACACGCCAACAAGACATTTAAAGGAGTGGAGGTGGATGAGGAGGAGGGACAGGGGGGGTCACAGTATGAAGATAAAATATTTTCTAAAATACAGATAGTTATCAACCATCTTGGACTGTTCGGTTGCCAGGCATAGTGTCAACTTGTTTATTTATTTATTCATCCTGCATTCATCCTGATCATTCATCCTTCATTCATCCTTCATTCATCCTTCATTCATCCTTTCTATCCTTCCTCTTCTTTTTTTCGATCACCAATCCCGCATTAAAAATTTGCATACAAAACTTCATCAAGAAGTATAGGTTTTGTGCTGTGCTTGGGATCCGGATTCAAGTCCACTGGATCCGCGACATTTTAACTCTAAGGATCCGGATCCGAATAGATGTGCGGATCCATGGAATCAATGATCAGCAATATACCTTCCAAATCACTGTATAAAGGTAATCAAAGTTTATAAAAAAACAAAAAATTGAAAATTTCTTTAAATTTTCCGAAAAATTCCCAGCTGGATTATAGTTGATAAATAAACGTTGAAGGAATGAGAAGATGTGATATGCATTATGCATGATTGATGAATAATGTTTAAATTGGTTCTATACTTGATGCTTGTTTTCATTCTGGGAGGTAAGGCACGTGGGAGCAAGGGGGGACGAGGTTGATGAATAAGCTGGAAATAATTACATTGTAATTTTCTTTGAAATTTGATTTTATATTTTTGCACAGATCCTTACTGATAATAGTGCAGAAACGAAGCGTGCTTTGCAAAACTTCAAGATTTGCGAAGAATTGATTTTTTAGGTTTGCAAATAAGAATATGATGGAAGCTGACAGCATCAATTAATCCATTGAAATCTGAGCACTATGTGTTCAGTAATGTTTAAAAAAGGAAAATGACGTCATCCAAGTGTCCAAACAGAAATTGATCTTTACTACATTTATATTACATAATGTAACCAGGCATTTTAGACGCTTCGCGGCACTTTCTCCTGTAACAGTTTGAGATTTTAATAGTTACTTTCCCAGCAGCCCTTTTTTTAATGCATTTGAAAAGAAATAATTTTGCGAATTTTTCGATTGTATTGATGTGAATTTCCAAAAATTGTGAAACATGACATTTTTTAGGGTCACAAAAATGCATCCTTTTGCAATTTATTTATTTTTCTGAATTTTGAAATATGAAACAATTCTAATAAAAAAATCCGAATTTATCACCTTTTCTATTTTCGTAAAATAACCTCTTTAAAGCGACAATTTCGGAATTTTACAAAATAACATTTTATACCATAATTTTTGGGCACAAAGGTCTTTTTTCTAGAATCATTGACCAGTAATAAACACAGTTATATAACCCAGTATATCTCCCACGCACACAAGATATAATAGATATCCTACGCAAACTTAAGATTAAAGGTAACAGGTTGAAAAATTTAACTAAAAGAATTGAGTCTTTGCCACAAACGCAAAGGAATTGAGTTTTTGTCACAAACTTTGATTTTTTTTCTTATCCCGATATCTTTGCATTTCAATGTCGGAGACCTTAGATATTTAAAACTATAAATTGTTTTAGATCAAATAATGATAGTTTGAAATATCAAAGGTTAACACTATCAGGTTGCAAAGATATAGTGAATTGAAAATCAGAATTTGTTTCTAAAACTCAGTTCCTTTTCTTATTCCTATATCTTTACAATTTGATGGAGTACATATGAAATATTTTAAATTCCTTTGAATAAAGATTTTTACGTATTTTTTCCCCTGCAGGTTCATTTTCACTTAGGTTTTCGTGAACAGATGTTTTCTGACATTTTAAACAAGTTTAAAATAGATTAATACATATCTAGATTTGGTTCTATACTCAACACACACTTTAAAATAAACTTACATAATAACCGTTGCCTGTCTGTCTGGGTGTCTGTCTGCCAATCTGTTTGATTTCCTGTCTATCTATCTATCTATTAGTCATGGTGTCTGTTTGCCAGTCTGTCTGGGTGTCTGTGTGTCTGTCTTTCTATCTATCTATGTTTAACACATAAATTTCACTAGAAGGGGACCATTCTTTTGGCGTACCGTCCTGGTTTGTAAAATGCTGCTTAAAAGTCAGCCCGTTCCTTGAAATTAACCGCGCGGAGTTTACAGTGATAATATATCTATCTATCTATCTATAAAATATCTATATATCTATAGATCTATCTATCTAAAAAATATCTTTGTATCTATTTATCTATACTATCTCTATAAAATACATCTATCGATCTATCCATCTATCTATCTTTCTATTATCTAAATTCAAAAAGTGAGTTTGTCTGAAAACTACTCCCACCTTATAGAAGATACGTATTTAGATATGCAAAAACAAATATGGCGAAGTACAATATATTTTGGCAGAAATCCACCCCTTTCACTTCAACACATTCCCATCTACACAATTTGAATTTTAACAAATATATAATTTTATTTTAACTTAATAATATTATTGAAAAAAAATGAAATATTAATTTCATAAATGTCTAACAGCTTACTTTACCTGATTCAAAGTTCCTTACTTAATTTATGATAAATTCATATCAATTGAATTGAAGGTCAATTTTGATCTCTATCACATATTAATGTATTATATAATTGATTATGTTTTTTTTTAACAAGGTTCAATGGTCAAATGATGAATATTGCATTTTAATAGAGTATACACTTTATATAACCCCTAAACCACATGTTAAATATAAAATCCCTATATTCTCCACCCTCCCCCCCCTCCTCTAACCCCTAAACCACATGTTAAATATAAAATCCCTATATTCTCCACCCCCCCCCCTCCNTCCTCTAACCCCGGTGAATGACCTTTAGCCGCGGCCTTACCAGGAGATCTTGTTAAATTCTCATCTTATCAAAATTACAAAATAAAGGTTTCAACTTCCGGGGAAAAAGATTGGAAAATCGGTGGTTTTTAGGAGAAAAACAAATATGACAGCGTGTAGAAATCTACACCTTGTTGTTATAACACAAATAACAAAATTAAAATATTGTAATAATTCTGTGATCATTGCACAATTACCGTGATTCATGTTCATTGTACATTTAAAACCAAAACTATTAATGGGCCCCCATCGGTATTTATTAATAAAGGATTTTTGATCTTCAGTAGAGATGGACATTGAATTGTATTTTATTTTTTTCAAAATGATCGTTTTCCGTTTTGAGAGTCCATTTTGCTTTCAATACGATCTTTTTGTAATTTGCAAATCGTAAAAGATTGAAAAAAATGTTATTAAAAAACCCTGAAATGATTTTCAAAACTTTAAACGGAAAATGACAAAAAATCGCTTTATTAAACAAAAAATGAAAAAAATCATCTTGAAATATTTTAAACATAAAAGAAAAGTTTCCGAAAAAAAATTTATATTATAATACGAAATTTAATTCTTTTCATTTTGAGATTAAAAATTTTCTTGAAATTCAAAATGATCGTTCTAAAATTTCCAAAAAAAACACGTTCGGTTTTGTGTTTAGCAAATCGTTCCAAAAATTTCAAAACGAGATATTACTCATCTAGAAAGTTTATCTAGTCACAGTTATTTTCTTATTTGTCTACGAAGTGAACAATTGGGCGTAGATAATTTCCAAATTATTTGATCGTTTAAATCCATTGTGCAGATAAAATTCTAGAATTAGTTACATGCAGGGTTTCTTTATTAGTTTTCATCGACATGTATTATATACAATTTCATTTTGCGGCATTAAAGGAATTGAGTCTTTGGAACAAAATCAAATATTTAAACCTAAATATCTTTAGAGCCCGATGTTGTAAATCTTTGATATTTCAAACTCAGATTATTTGATCTAACAGAATAAATAGTTTGAAATATCTAAGGTCTACAACATTTGGTTCCAAAGATAAAGTGATTAGAAAATCAGAGTTTGTGGCAAAGAATCGATTCCTTTTAACTTCATGTCTTATTTTAAATCCTGCGACATTTTGTCAGAACTTCAAAAAATTGGGAATTTTTAACCCAATTTTTTCCGTGACCTTTTTTATACATATATAATTATTTTATGTAGACTATGTGATAGCGAAATTGCTCTTGGTAGGATGATTATATATCATCTTTAATAAAGGAAGAATAACAACAAATTATTATTAAGGTTTAAAGCATACCAAATTCGGAAAACTAATTAATATTTTTGTTTAATACGAGAAATAATACGTAGAGGTTTTCAGGATTGATATTATTTGTTTCACTCCCGGCCATAAGGCCCTATGCCTCATCCCTCCCTCCCGTCCACATAACATCATAACATTTTATCATTTTTTATCAGTGTGACACTATGACATCATCAAATAAACACAACATTCGAAATCAAAACAACATCAATAAAACTCTCTCAAACAGAAAACAAAACATTAAAACAAAAACATATTTTATATTTTAAATGTGCTTTTCAAAATGTTAGATAACCAACGATTATATATCGCAAAGGAATTGAGCCTGTGCCACAAACTCTGATTTTCTAATCCCTTTTTCTTTGCAACCCAATATCCTAGACCTTAGATATTTCAAACTTTTATTTCTATCAGATTAAATAGTCTGAGTTTGAAATATAATGGTTCACACCATCAGATTGCAAAGATATTGGGATTAGGAAATTTAGTTTTGTGACAAAGACTCAATATAAAAAAGTTAAGATTGGAACTAGGACCAACGTAATGATATGAAATAATACACAGTGTGAACAATGAAAATGGGCTCATTTTCATGTTGCGCTAATCTTAGCTTAATGTAATCATAGAAAGCATAACAAAATTTAACATTAAAATTATTGAAATAGAAATATTGCTAATGCAATTTTTAATATTTCTGAAATCTTAAGATATGTAATTGTGAAACTTTTATTTCTCAAGTAAAGTTCACCTAGCTATTTAATGTACATATAAAAAATATTTCTGAGCCCTTGGATTCATGAATAAAATGAATTACTATTCATTACAAAAATTATGAAACCAGTTTGATCAAATTTGAGGAATTAAAACCGGAACTAAACAAAAATATTGAATATCAAATCCAGTTTTTATGTGAGAACTGAAAATCATGGTTCTAATTGATGACATTTATCTTCATGGAAACTAGAATTTCTCTATTATAGTCAACAAATTAAAGAACAGTTTAAGAACAATCCATGGCTAAACCATCAACCATCAGTTCCTGACAGATTAACAGAGATTACAACTTTTAAAACTTAGATATTAAAAATTATTTGTTTTTTGAACAGAAGGGTTAGACAATTTTGTAATTTTGTTGAGAAAGTAAATTATCCCTTCAACTGAATATATAAAACAGCCCCTTTAAACACTTGTATTTCAGGCTGTTTACAGAATAAAAAGAAAGGAAAAATGTTTGAACGAATTTGTTAAAATTTAACTCAATAAAAAGCTGAATCTTGCTGAGTTACGCAAATCTAACCTTCAAATATTTAAAAAAAAATTTTTTTTTCATTTTTTCATACTTAAATATTTTCTTCGCATTTTTCCCCCTTTTTGATTGATAGGGATATAAAAAGTTTAGATATATTTTGTTAATTATTGCAAACAAATGGATCGTAATTTCGAGCAAATTTTTCGAAATTTCGAAAAATTGTCAATAATTTATAAATGTTTTCGGTAATTCCTGACGAACACATCTTCATAAGCTTTCTGTAATTCGATAAAACAAAAAACAAATCTTCAAATTGTTCTCTAGTTCTGAGCCTAGCGTAAGCTAAGCACATGTTCAAAGAAAAACTTTAAGATTATTTAAATTCTCTACTACTGAAGCAAACTGACAACTTTATCACATTCTTAAACCCACATCTTCTAGTTTTATATTCTAAACTCAACAAGATTGCAACAACAAGACTGAACACATATAAGGGATATTGCAAACATGCCGATCTAAAGATCCGACGAATGTATTTTGTCTTTTGAATTGGAAAACGTCTTTCAATGCTAAAACAAATTTATTCCGTATATTCTTATTTTTTTGTTATCCCTGTATATTACAAACACAGACAAAACAAGGGGGGGTTTGGAAGAGGAAGTTGGGGATGGATAGGGAAAAATTGAGAAATTTTTAAGAAAACCTCAGGAGGCAAATGAAAGTGCTCGAATTCTTTGTTTTGTTTTTGTCAAATCGGATGATCCTGTTCAACCCACAGATCTTGTTCAGAGAGTATACACATCCACAGATCTTGTTCAGAGAGTATAGAAACACGCAGATACTGATCAGACAGTATACAAACACGCAGATACTGTTCAGAGAGTGTACAAACACGCAGATACTGTTAAAAAAGTATACCAACGCGCGCAGAGATTATATTCAGAGAGTATACAAGGTGCTGCTTAGAGAGTATTCTTTCCCATAATTTCTGTTCACAGAGTATACAGACCCACATATCTTGTTCAGAGAGTATCCAAACGCACAGATATTCCTAATAGAGTATACAAGTACACAGCTTTTGTTCAGAGAGTACACATACACATAGATCTTGTTCAGAGAATATACACAAACACAGATCTTGTTTAGAGAGTATGAAAACACAAAGATCTTGTTTAAAGAGTACTTAGTTGTGTACTTTATGATGTATTTTTTTGCATTATTCATTGTGTACTTTATTATGTACTTCATATGTTGTAATTTGTTGTGTACTACAATGTGTACCTCATTCTGTATTACATTGTTTACTTCAGTCTGTACTCACTAGATTGTATACTTTATAGTGTACTTTATTGTGTTTACGTTTTTGTGTACTTCATCTGTTGTACTTCATTATGTACATTTTTGTACATTTTCTTCTGATATTTGTTTTGTGTTAGAAAGAATATATAATGGATAAAACACTTTCAAGTGTTTTCTCTAAAACCCTTTTTGTACATATTTTTAAAAAATATAGGGAAAGATGTTTATGATATTTTCAGCTGAATCTAAATTAATTAATTCTAAGTGGATTTTTAATATTTTTAACTATATTCTATATATTCGTATTTTTACTATTGTATCATTAATAAATATTTGTTGAAGAAATAATATAAAAAATCTGGTTAAATTTCATCTAGTTTAAAAAGATGATTAAGGAACTGTGGTCGTTATGCCAAAGAGATATATTAGTGCAAGTAGGTTCCCAGAAACCTTTATCCGATAACTTGTGTGGAATATACTTGCCTTGCCTAGGTCAGGTTTAATACAATAATTTCCGCCCTTGGTTCAGAAACCACAATTGAAAAAAATCAATTTTCAAGAGAAAACATGTTTGATATGTAATTTATCCTTGACCAGACAAAGTTTTTAAATGCACCTTTTTAAATCAGACATGCAAGTCCCTTGAAATGACGTGTACAGTCCCTTTAAGTTTTACTATTGTTCACTGTATTCTACTATATACAGTTCCTTTTAAGTTTTACTATTGTTCACTGTATTCTACTATATACATTCCTTTTAAGTTTTACTATTGTTCACTGTATTCTACTATATACAGTCCCTTTAAGTTTTACTATTGTTCACTGTATTCTACTATATACAGTCCCTTTAAGTTTTACTATTGTTCACTGTATTCTACTATATATAATTCTGTACAGATTAAACCCGTCCAGATACTTGGACCCCGCCCTTTGTTTAAACAGTTTGGAGATAAACCAACTTCAGATGAATGAGTTTAAGGGGGGAAAAAGAAACATAAATAATGTTTATTAAAGAGATTAAAGGATACCTTTACGTGAAGTTCAAAAAACAGATTAAAAAAAAATAAAAAAGTCAATAAAATTCAAAACATCCGGAATATTTGTCAAGTGATGATTTAGTTTATAATGTGCTAGGCTTTTAAAGGGCGTAATAGATTTTTGAGCCGCAATTCACCCCAGTCTAAAAGTTGTATGATCCGTGCCGGTACAACTGTAGTTCGTCGTACTGTCCAGTAAGGCTACCTAGAGTGCAGAGAAGACCCAGCACGTTTTTTTGCAACAAAAGTAACCTGGCATAATCCCAGTTAATTTTTTCCTTGTTCTTCAATCACCGCGGATGTTTCTGTTCGGATATAAATGGATTTTCAGAAATCGTAAAAAGGAAACTTAAGTTACTTGCTATTAAAACTTGGGCCAAATCGGTTTGGCAGTTTTGAATTTTATTGGAACAAAGAAACAGACACCTAGACACGACGATGTTTTTATCTTAGCCTTTACTTAAAGGGGGGGAGGGAGAACAACTGCCCCCCTCCCCTAAATACCATACCGCATTTCATGATGTAACTTATCTATATAATATAACCCCCTTTGCTTATACATATATATTCGTATGTCTATTAAGATATATATATATATATATTAGATATAGCTAGCCAAACTACAGGAACAAATTAACTGAAATGATTTGAAGGGAACCCAAGGGTACCCTGGGCGTATTATAGACTTTAAAAATTCGATTTTCTTTTCTTAAAAAATACTATTTTTAAAAAGATCCACGGGCAACGTCAGCCGCCAAGCACTTGTTATCTATATAATTTTTTGTACCTGACTCCATCGTTTAGGTGTAGGATTAGTGTCCGGTGGTCCACGTACTGAACTCAGCTTATACTTCTTTGGGGGTAGCAGGGATACTGTACATTGTACATGGAAAATATGTAGAATACTGTACATTGTATACATGGAAAATATAAAGAAAACGGTACAAAGTACACGGAAAATATATAGGATACTGTACAATGTACATGGAAAATAGTTAGGATACTGTACATTGTACATTGATTGAATAAGTTATTTAAGAATGTTAAAAATACATATTTGGAAACGGTTTTACTATTGTTAATTTAGTTTTTCATTCAAAAATGTCGCTTAACAAATTGTTAATTCAAAATAGGAGAAGACAAGAAAATATTCAGAAAATGTTTTTTTTTACTTTAAATATGACATTACTCTCATACATGGGGATCCCAGAGTATAGGTCTGACAAATAGGCAGCATATGCGGCTATTTATCATCAGGTATAGTGACTAAGCAGGAGATGGGAGGGGTGTAGAGGGAGGGGTAGAAGAATGACAGAGAAGGTAGACAAATGGAAGGGGGCGGGGGAGGGGGGAGGATAGGGTAAAGGGGGAGGGGGAGAGGGAGGAGAAAGGAAAATGGAATTAGGGAGGGTAGGGGTGGGGGTGAAGGTGTGAGGGAGAAGGGAGGCAATTGGAAGAAGAGAAAAAATTGAGATTGAAAAAGTGGAAAAATTAATTAAAATCAAACGAAAAAGAATTTTCTCTTCATTTTAACATTTTATAATCTAAAAAGAAGCTGAGATCTTGTAGATTTAAGACAACATATTAACATCTAATTACAATTTTCTAAGGTTTGCAATAGCTGTAAAAATCGCAACATTTTACGAGCAAAAATGCGCATCTTTGTGCAAAACATTTCAATGACGTTTTCAAATTGCCCAATTATTGCAAACTATGGATGCCAATAAAATTGTTAAAAGTGAGGATACAGGGTTCCCAACCAAATGTGAAACTTACAGAACAACTTGAAAGCATCCAAAGGCTAAATACCTCTGATTTAGATTTAGACTTATTATTTTTAAAAGAGTTTTAAAAGGTTAACCTCCCCTTTTGTGAAGTATTCAATTTCTTTATTTTTATCAATAAAAATTATATTTGCTTATTGATTATTAAAATGTTTTAAGATTTTTTTGCCAAACTTTAAATTTACCCTTTAGACGGAGACCTTCTATTTTGAAGTATATTCTAATGTTATATTTTCAACACTTTAGGCAATTACATTTGCTACAAAAACCCAGGGAATATAGGGCGAAACGTCCCCCATGGGGATTAAGAGATTTTAGAGAGGGGGATTTTACGAAAAGGGGATGGATGAGAGGAGGGGTTTAGGGGTTGACGGTAAACCGAGATTTGCTAATATTAAATATGAATTCCTTAGATTAGCTCTAAGCTTTAAAAAATGTGTTGAAAATTAAATAATAAGATTTTCCATGTCCCTAGACTGATTTTCTTCTTCTTCTCTGATTCTAACATGAAGCCTGATTTTTTCCCACTCATTAAACACTTGATTTTCACTTTGGCACTTAAACTGTGTGCATTTCCTATTTTAATCACTTGATATCGTCACTTGAGCACTCCCACTCCACTTCTCTGAGTGATCATTTTGAAATTATGAAATCTGGAATTATTCTACATTCAAACTATCTACGTAGATAAAGCTTAACCCCGTTGTTGAAATTTGAATCTATGCACAAAAGAAGTGGATTACTAATAATATTTGTGGTTCATTAAATCTGGCCCCATAGGTAACAATAACAAACAAAACAGAAAACTTAAAAGTTCCTGGAAATAATTTCTTATTAAAAAATTAATTAATAAAGAAGAAGTACTTATACATATATATTATTTGCACTGACCATCTATATGTTTATCTAACTATCTTTCTATTTAACTGTTTATCTATTTATCGTTCAAACTGTCTACTTATTTATCTTTTTATCTATCCAACTATCTGCATGTCTATATAAAAGATAGGTGGATACATCACACATATATTATATCATGTTTTGAAAACTTATTTTATTATTATTATATATACGTTTATATATATTTATAAACCTATCTATCTATCTATCTATCTGTCTGTCTATCTATCTATCTATCTATCTATCTATCTGTCTATCTATCTGTCTATCTATCTCTAACTAGCTATCTTTGCTAAGAATTGAACCTGGATCTAAAACTTGTTTCTTTACATAGAGAATATAGAACAATTATATAAGATTATCTATTCATTCATTCATCCTACATTCCACCTAGAACCATCCTCTTTACAATCTAACTCACAGTGCTTCACTTTGTAAAAAAAAAAAAATTGGGGCGTATTTAACAGTTCACCAATTTGTTTTTATTAAACCAACAAACAATCTCTGTAAGCGTACAGTAAAACTTAATCTTTAAAATTCTGAGCAAAAATTTTGAGCTAAAGGTGTCGAAAAAATCTGCAAAATATGACCGGGGTTTTCTGAGTGAGCAATTGAGTTTTGGACATTCTTGAAAGCTTAGGAACATCTGAGGATATAGACTTTGTTATGATCCTATAAATACAAAAATTAGAACGTTTGAAATGAGGAAGCTATCCCTTTAAATATTCTCTATCCAGCTTATTACACCCAGCAGGTTTTCTTGTTTTTGTTAAATCTTTAATCTAAACCCTGATCTTATAATAACATAGTTCAATGTAGAGATGTCAGGGAGGAGGGGGGGGGGGGGGGGGGGGGGGGCAGGGGGAATTATATGTTTTGATCTGTTTTAGATTAATCATATCAGAAACGCTAATCAAATATCAAAGTTTTTCATCAGTTGGTTGCAAAATTATAGATTTAAAAAATTTCGAGTTTAGGCAATTCATTTTATAATCTTACCCCCCCCCCCCCGCCCTGCGTGGCCAAAGTCATGTTTACATTCGTGTTTAAATACTAGAAGTAGCTATTCACTGTATTCAGTGTTTAAAGAATAAATTTGTTTGCATATTTACACTTAAGCTTTCAATTGTTTGTTTACAAAAACTAAAGGGTGTCCCACGAAACATGACAGTGGTGAATAGTTTTAAATGTCTTCTGCCATAGTTTGATAAGTTGTTTAATGTCAAAGAGAATAATAAAAAACATTGAATGACAGTCAAATTACAGTAAAATTCATTTCAAAGTAATATACTTGAATAGAAGATTTTGTTATTGAAATAAACTGCAAAAAGTCTATTATATATATATGGTATATTTAAACTTGGCTTGTCTGACTTACAACGGAACCCTTAACAACTTTGTCTGATAATGTGATGGAGATATTCATATTTTTCTTACTGAACTTGAAGTATATGGTTGAAGAGATTCGCAACTCTTCGCCAAATGAAATGTTCTGTGAGACACCCTGTATTACAAACTAAAATGATCTCATTCAACGCGAAGAAAAAGAAAAGAAGAAAGAATTGTGTAAAATCATAAATTTATAGAATACTAGCTTGGGGAACCCAGCGCTGCTTAGGTTGCTAAAGGTTACTTCCGCCGTTTGCCCGCACTTGAACATTTTTATCGGGAAACTTTTTAAGTCTACCCACTCAACTAAGAATCTTAAAACCAGACTAAGAACATTCCCGTGGGCCTCCCGAGTTCCACAATCGAAATTTGAGGCAAATCGATCCAGGGGTTCCTGAGTTAGGATCGGACAAACAAACAGACACCCAAACAGAGATGACTGCTTTATATATATATATATATATATATATATATAGATGTATTGTACAGGGTTATCCTCAAAGAATGAGACTTTAGAGAAGACTGTATGGACTTTATTTGGTCGTTTTATATACATTCTAGGTTCCCTGCAATTGACATTTGTTCAATTCTTTGTCAAATCATCTATATCATAATAATTCTCTTCGCTCATGTATATATTTTTTATATTTTAAATGTTAGCTATAGCTGGCCAAACGGCTGGACCGAACGGATTGACATTTTTTGAGGGAACCCACGGGTTCTCGGGGAGTAATATAGCCTAAAAAAATTCAACATTTTTTCAAAAACCTTTTTTTTCTAAAATTAAAAACAAATCTATTCCACGACTTAACACCGGGCACTTCAGCTAGTTATTACATGACTTAAAAACTATTTTTTTTTTTGACAAAATATCAAATTCTATCTTCAGATTGTTGATTTAAATGAGTAAAATGTCGAAATTAAAGTCTCGGCCTTGGTGGATCTCCCTATCTCCCTTTTTTTATTTTCGGTTAAAAAAGTGTTTTTTTGCAGAAAAATTTTAAAAAACAAAATGTGTGTGCAACTTTTAGTAGTTTCTTGTGTAGACTAAATAATTACTATTTTGAAAATGTCAAAAGTTGATTAATAACCCCCCTTCCACCCCCGCCCCAACATAAATAAGGAAGAAGGATTTGTTGTGTCTGCTAGTTGTTGAATCTTTACACATTTCACAAAGGAACTGCAATTACTAGAACTTAAATATTTTAAACTATAAATTCTGTTACATAGATCAAAAGATAAAGTGCGAAATTTCAAAGGTTTTCTTTATAAATAGGTTGCAAAGATTCAAAGATTAGGAAATAATGGATTATGAGGCAAGTACTCAGTTTCTTAACTTTTTGAATAGTTCATTTATTCTGTTATTTTAAAAATAAAATACTTTGTTTTAAGATAATTTTAACAATTTATACCAAGTTGTTGTAAATTATACACTAATGTTATGACGTAAATCTTTGTGATTTTAATGCGTTCACAAAAACTATGTTTAAACTTGCAATCGAGAATTGAAGTAAAAATGTAAAAAAAGATAAATGTCTGTTGCAGTCGAATTGTTTATTTAATTTTTGAAAATTAAAGAATAACTCATGCTCACCGCCACCCAACCCCCTCCCACTCAAAAAAACAACACGATTTGAACAAATTGAGCAAATTGAGCAAATTGAGAAAATTGAGAAAATTGAGCAAATTGAGAAAATTGAGCAAACTAAGCAAATTGAGCAAATTGAGCAAATTAAGAAAATTGAAAAAATTGTGAAAATTGAGCAAATTGAGCAAATTGAGCAAATTGAGAAAATTGAGAAAATTGAGCAAATTGAGCAAATTGAGCAAATTGAGCAAATTGAGCAAATTGAGCAAACTAAGCAAATTGAGCAAATTGAGCAAATTGAGCAAAGATCTTCGGAATATCTTTGAAGTTGTATTTGTTCGCATATTTTGGGTCAATTCATTTATTTAGATTTTACAATTAGACTCATTAGACGAGCATGTTGGAAGAACCTGAACATTGTCCAGAAATTTAGTAAACAAGAGGGTTAAAGCAATTTCCAACCTAGGCATCACCATAAAATAGTTTTGACAACAAATTTTTTTTCGATGAAACATTTGTCTTAATTAAAATCTGATAAAGTAATGTTCATCTTATTTTTTGATTCACGACATCAACCTTTATTCTACCTTTATCTAATCATCCGCAACGAAGATATTTGTATTTGTGCATTATTATAAACTTCAGTAAGAAAAATATGATCATAGCTCCATCATTCTCAGACAAAGTTAAATTTACACCAACAGCCCCTTCCACAATTTTAACTTAAATGCAACTAGCACTTTAGCAAATAAAGAATTTGAATAAATTATTTTTGTTTAGTTTTAAATTACTTTTATTTAATGCAAATACACACAGGCTACTGAAATACATCTGTATACAGTTGCAGCCTGTAGACGTCAACTGCACATTTTTCCATTCCACACAAGGGGGTTGTTAACTGCAAAGAAATGTTTAAAAATACGCAAAATTCCTTAAGGCTGTGAAAATGGGGTTTAGATTAACATACCACACCTACAATTATACCCACATGAGAATACAAATGTCCTAAAAATTAATGAAGGAAACGTTTGATGACTATACTTCGAACTAAATAAATTTCTTAATAGAAAATTCACAAAATAAAACTTTGAAGATAAAATATTGACCTTGCTGAAATTCTAATTTGTACAACTAATTTTCAAGATTGAGAAATCCGAAGAATATTTTTTAAGATTTCAGTAAGATGAGATGCGTTGATTGCAATAAAGTTATTTCTTTATAAAATATTCCCACAAAAAATTCAAATAAAATTTAGATAAATTTTGGATAAAATTTGACAAGTTTATTCGATTTCTCACCGCTCACTTTTTAAATTAAAAAATCGAGAGAACTGTTTTTGAGATTTATTTCTAAGCACTAGGGCTCAATGTCATATTTATAATTGGTTAATTGCATTGATTTATAAAATTACAATTAAAATAAAACAAATAATCTGTTCCAGAGTTTACGCCATGATGTTTCTTTTAACGGGTTTAACTGCTTTCGTTTATAGATTGCAATTTGAAATATACAGACATTCTGTTTATTTTTGAACCTGAACTATTCAGCCTACATTTAAATATCTTTCCTTTAATCTAGCTAGAGCTCCTTAATGATCCTTAATTTAGAATGTTCCTTCACATTGTTTCCAGTGCTACCCTTTAAAATTCTAAGTTAAAATGTTGTCACTATCTTTATTTTCTATTTTAAAATTGATTTTGATTTAATTATGTAAAAGCGAATTTTTGCAGTTGATTATTTGAGAAAACTTAAAGGAAATTAAATTTTTTTCC